GTAGGTATTCAGACATGCCTAGATTCTAATATCAGCATCTCGAACATAAGGCTGCGACAGGGGAACTAACATATCCTAATCTTCCTTTCCATGGAAGAGGCAGATAGTCACTATTGATAGGGGGTGGTCTTCTCGCCTCCAACTTTATAGCATCAGCATCAGCATCCTCTGCCTGCCCTTCTTCGTCTCCGTCAGGATCCAGCCTCTTATCCCATTCATCTTCGTCATCCTCCTTTTTTATTTTCTTCTCTGCCGCCTTTTTGGCTGCCTGTTCTGCTACAAATGCTTTTATCTCGTCCGACCCTTTCTTTGCAGCAATTGAGCTTTTCGTTGGGCCTTTTTTCTGTTTCTTAGCAGGCGTGGGCACAGGGATATCATCACCAATATCTGTTAGGGGCGAATCGGTTTCCTCATTCTTGACGGGAACAATTACATCATTATCCTTTGTGGGAGTTATGGGTACCTCAATTTTCTTAAGATCGAACGATTCCCCAGGCTCGTCGGCATCTGGGCTTGCACGAAGTGCTGTCTTGCCATCTACAATATCTGCATTGTGCTCAGGGTTGGTGTCGGGATTGCCCCTGCGTGAAGACTGCCGCGAAGGTCTGGCAGGTGGTTTGATAGAAGTAGACTGAGTCGAAGGAAGAATTAGATTTGAAGCGCCATCAGTAATGGGAGTCGCCGCGGCTGTTGATCTCTTTCGTTTCGGTGCCATCTTTAGGCCTCGGAATTGAAAATTGCTTTGACGAAAGGGGGAAATTTTGCGCGCACTGCTAATGCTAGCAACGTGAAGTGACAGCCGTTCAAGATATCTGCCAGGGCACAAGTGAAAAGAAAGGGAAGTAAACATTCAATGTCGAGGTTCAAAATTAAGAAACAATAGTTGAAAGAAAACTACCTACATCAAAAACATACACATTCATTGGTAGCTTACCTCTGTCGCGTCTATGGAATGAATTGGATACGCCATGCGCTTAATCGATGGTTTATAGCTTTTAGTCTTCTCCATGGTTGTAGGTATCTGAATGAGACATGTCGGATCGAAGCTAAACAGCCATGACGTTGACGACTTTTTAGCTCTGATATCACGTGATAAAGAATAATCCCTTCGAACAAAACAAACTCGATACACGTACTGGTAAGGTCATATAACGACGAGTACATCTGGCGTATCAGAAAACTATATACACCCAGTTTGTTAGGTCAATTTCATTTCACAATGTGTGCTCTAAGCTCCAATTTGCATCTTTTCTTGGACATAAACTCGAGCTCTAAATCGAGCTCTTAAATTTCTTCTTTTCTCGCAACGATTCATCCAATGGTCGTTTATTGCTCGCACTTACAGAGCACACAGTAAGCTAAATCACCACCAAAGAGATCTTAAGCTTGGGATTATCTATGAATTTGTATAATCACGTTTTCAATTCTTGTGTTCATGATAGTCAACTGGAAACCAATGAATTAATTAGTCTGATTCCCGCGCTAGATTGACCCCATAAATCTTGGCTAAGGTGTTAGACCTTGCTCAAGAGCACAACATCTTATAGAAGATTGTATTACTAATTATCAATGACCTTTCATTATGTGTTCAAAAGAGAAGCAAAGAGAAGCATCCATCAGTATATGTATCACGAAGAATAACCACACGATTAGATCGCTGTGCCACGCTCACGACCAACAGCTGCCTTCTCATCATGAAGATCATGATGCTGAACTTGTCGTACATCGGTGATACCATCACGATGACGAGCGTTCTCTGGGGCAACTACGCCGTCGTCATGGTGGGTGCGCTTCTCACCAGGAACGCCACCAACACCACCGACGGGGGCTGCGACCTTGACTGCACCAGCTTCTATATCTGCCGCTAATCTGTCTAATCTGGAGCCCTCGGGAAGTTTTTGCCACGGATGGAGACCACTGTATTGAGATTGAAGGGTCAGTACATTTGTTCAAGAAACATTCTGAAAAGAATTGAAAAAGATCGCATTTGAGAAAAGAGAGAACATACCTGTTAAAAACATCATCCATCTCCTCGAGTGTTTTGCCTTTAGTCTCGGGAGCTGTAAGGAAAATATGAATGAAAGCAAGTGCGTTGAACGTAGCAAAGATCATGTACATCTTCCAGTTGATATTCTTCAACAATGGTGGAACAGCAAAAGCAAGAACACAGTTCCAGAACCAATTTGCCGAAGTTGCGAGAGAAACAGCCTTTGCACGAATCTTATTTGGGAAGATTTCGGCTGGGTAAGTCCATGATGAAGGTCCCCAGGTTGTTGCAAATGCACAAACAAATAGATATGTCATAGCGACGATGGCAGATGATACACCCTTCTTGTCGTGAACAACCCATGTCAGATTTTTATTCTGTTCAGTTTGAGTCTTCGATGTGTTGTTGGGTTCACCGTAGCCTGCTTGAAGCCCACCGGCAATGAAAAGGAAGGTCATCATGAGGAAGGAACCGATGAGCATGGCTGGGCGACGTCCGAAACGATCAAGATAGATGATAGCAGGTAAAGTCAACAACACATTGAGTATGTATTGAATCGAGGCGGTAATAAGCGGGTTCGCAATGTTTGCACCTTGCATGATATCTAAAAGAACCATTAGTGATGTACTCTACCACAGCCGAGAAAGAATACTTACAAACGACGTAGTACATCATGATATTCATGCCACAGAGTTGAGACCACATCTGAATCGACATTCCTAGAACGACTCGCTTGATCATACGTGGAGCCACAAGTTGCTTGTAAGAGCTGATAGCTTCTTCACGTTCGAATCGGAGTGCCTCCTCAATTTCTTGATATTCTGCGAGAACCTTTGGGTGGTTTACATTACCGCCACCATGGAGGTCTGCAATAACCTTAATGGCTTCCTCCCATCTATCCTTAGAGGCCAACCATCTAGGAGATCGTGGTAAGAAGAACATACCGAAGAACAAGATAACTGCAGGAACGATTTGTATACCCCAGGGGATTCGGAAAGCAGAAGTAGGTTGGTCCTATGGAAAATTATTGATCAGTGTGCTAGCTCTTAAAATAGTGGCATCGTACTTACTGGGTTTTCCGCACCACCTCCGATTGTCGAAGCACCGTATTGGATGAAGTACTGAATAAGAATACCCCATGTGATTGCCCATTGTTGAAGAGAGACAACTCGGCCTCTGATTTCCTTTGGAGCAATCTCTGATTGATAGACAGGACAGATCGCGGAAGCAATGCCAACACAGATACCAGCAATGACTCGACCGACAACCAGCATAGCTACATTGATTGAAGCACACTGAATACTAAAGAAAGCATTAGTTATGTTCGTATAATTGGAGTTCAAAACTTACATTGAGCCAATGATCCAAAAAATAGACGCAATTTGAATGCTAGCTCGTCTAGACCATCTGTCCGCAATGAAAGAGGAAGCTAAAGCACCGATGAGAGATCCAGCGGGCATGGCACAGGTAATTCCACCTTGACCGTAAGATTGGGGATTGTTGAAGTATCTGACGTATGCTTGAGTTCCAAGAACACCAGACATACTCGAGATATCGAAGCCGAAAAGACCACCGCCTATACATGTTACTCATTGTTTTGCATTGGATTCGAGGAGAATTACTTACCTATTGCGGCGAAAGCGCAAATAACGTAGACATTAGTAGTGTACCACATTATGATTGAGTGAACGACTCCTCGATGATATGATTTTCGAAGGTATGAAAGTGCAAAGAATGTCAAACTTGAGAAGGTATGTTCAAGGATATTATTAGTTGTAAGTTGGATGGTTGAATCTAGACTGTTGAAACCTTAAGTAGCAATGAGCCGAGCTACCTACGGCGGCGCAGTAAGTAATGTCTTTTCATTAATCAGTCCACTGCCATATTCACTGAATAACCTGCTTTTCTACACGTGCTGTGTCAAATTCTCAAGTTTGATGTTGGGGTAATTTGGTGAATGAGAGACCCATGCTCCTACAAAATCGCTAATTTGCTGAGACGCCACTAATTTGTGAATAGAGTTAATTCGCTCTAATCTTGAAACGGTCCAAGGCGAGACGCATGATCTGTCTGTATTCGCCCATAATCCGAGAGGTTCAAAAGCATTCATAGGTCCCTTGAGTAGAATCTGGGGTAAATTATCCGTCGAAGGATTAAGTGCCCGTAGCCTTGCAGTACTTGCTTGGCATGTTTACCTCTGCATAAACACGAACTACCTAGATAAACTATCCATCTTATGCGAGTCGTATAGCAAATTTACTTCAAAGAGTTCAATGCTTGGAGTCGTGGGTAGGACGACTCAAAGCATTAAACGCCCACATTATGCTTTCCGGATCGAGCCTATAGCAAATCAGACGATTATTTAAACAAACCAATTGCTTCACTCAGACTATTTTCCAGTCACTACCTGCTTTCTGAACGCCGAAGACGCACCGTTGCGGCTTAAGCCACTGTTGACTACCTACTGCCAACAAAAACGCGGGCTACAGATATCCAGGAATATCAAGTGAATGGGCTATTTCTAGCACGCTCCAAGAAGCATTGTCTAACCAATCATTGATTAGATCACATGTGGTGTACGATCCTCTTTAATGCTTGTATCATTCCTCATGACCCATGAAGAACCCGCCAAGCTGTTCCGAGGCTTGACTTGGCACTAAATGTTGTTGCGGGGTTAACAATGAATGGCACATATCAGCGCTGGCTTGACTCGCTATTGGCCCATCAATCACGGTAAATTCACCTAGTAACAAGACAACTTGGTAGAGACAGCGAATCATCTATTAATGAATTGCATACACCGAGTAGCTGGAGAAAGCCACAATTATATACCCATTCCCGATGTCCTGATCTAAACTATTTTCGTTGGAACCAAATGCTCGGGTCAAGGTTCAGATAAATTCTGCCTGTGAAAAACACTTGCTAAAATTTCTTAGACATGATCCCGAGATGACTTTAAAAGCTAGAATGAATAGACCACGTCGTACACATAAGGCTGAAGCACGTGGTAATTTTAAGGACGTGGTGACAGTTCCTCAACTATGTTTTTGGGTTCTTTCCACGCGAGCGCAACGTATCTAACATGAACCTATTTAGCTTGTGAGTCTGAAAGACTGGAGGTAAAGACTGACTTTGTATGGCTTCCACGTGCTGCTACTTCGCCCTTGCTATTTGTAAACTGAATAGAAGTATACGCCAAGGTCTTTCCAACTACTCTGATGTTAGAGATGTGATGTCCAAAAATAACATGACTATGGATACTTACATTTATCGCAAGTCACCACCGCTTTCAGCACATCTCCAACTTTACCGCCAGAGTTGAGGTATGTAACTTCGTTTGAGTTAGATACATAAAAATTGCAATTGAGTCGCACAACGTTTACCGTTCAAATCAGTAGAAACACCCGTGGCATAAAGGCCCCTCGAGGCAACAGCTAGTGAGCCACCTAGGTCCACCATGCTGGCAATCGTGCCTCCATGAATAATGTTCAAACGGTTCTAACACAAGACAATTGAACGAGTTGCTCATATACGATTTGGAAAATTTCCTTACGGTGTGCTCCTTCTTGATATCAAGCTCAAAGTTTACACGTCCTGGCTCGGCTCCTGTGACTCGAAGCTTTTCAAAGTCAATGGAAATAATTCGCAATTAAATAATATACAACAAATGCTTTTCCTACATTTTCACCAAATAGTCTATAATCAAGTGTCAGTCGATATTTTTATCAAGAATTGTCGCTGCCACAATAGCAGTGAAAAATGTTCCAGATTGATCTAGTACAGAGGAGGTACGCTGTTACATTACGCACGAGGCCCTGAAAGCCAATGAAGGGTAACCTAGAACAACTAGATTGATTTCAGATACTTGCTGAAAGTCCCATGCCCGGAAGAAATGCCGACTAAACACTGGCGACGACAGACCGGAGCTGTACTTTACAAAATGACACCTAAAAGACATGGAAAACAGTACCTCGGCTCAAGTCCTGATGATTCTTGAAAAGACTTCAGAACCTATTGAGTGAAGGTAATGATGTCAGCATCGGCATATTTGGGTGGCCTATCGACAACTCACTGATCTCACGAATCTTAGAGCAGCCATGTTGTAGAAGTAATAGTATGATGAAGCTAGATAAATTGTTGATATAAGAATGTGTTGTAGTTACAAAAAAGTCGGCAATTCAGTATAAAGACGCCGCGATTGGCTGAACAGGGAATAATACCCTTGCTTGATTCTCAGGCCGCAGTAAGGCCGCCCGCTGTTCAAAGTTACTGGCTCGCTGGGGCCGTATCGGCCGGTAACGAACATTATATAGGTACAAACTAACCCTAGGATAGAGTTAGAGATACCTAGGTAGTCTACCGGTGATACCAAACATCAAATCAATTGCATTGATTAGGAGATTCTATATCTTAAAACATGCGATCATGCTCTTCCAAGGTTTTCTGTTAATGAATATTCGGCTGAATTCGGTGTCACCAATGCTGTTTGAATTCTCATTATGACTCTCGATACTGGCAGATATAGCACGGTGAAAGGTGTGTGGTTGTGGTTGTGGTCGTGATAGCTGTAGTAGTTCTAGTCGCATTTTTTAATAGCTTCGCTACCTCGTTGTTCCATTTTGTGTGTTTTGAATCTGATCAGTTCTGTATCGAAGGGAGAAATACATCCAAATACAAAGCTCACATGTAATACGTCTGGTGTTAACATATCGTCCATTTGAATCTTGAAACTCGATTGTCTAGTCTCGACTATCGTCACATGGAACACTCCATAGAACCAACCTGGCTTAGTTTATAATCATTTCCTCAATATCCCACTGTATATCATCTAAAGCAAGCTTCTTCTGAAATTTCTCGATACCCGGTATAGTCGCTGTTGCTACTAATTGGTACACGGGCGTCTCAATACTCTCCTTCTTGCTGTCACCTCCCAGCTCCTCACCATGCTCCAGCCTTCGCAGAATCAATGGGTCTCTCCCTCTACCAACTACAACTACCAAATCTCCCTTCCTCATACTCGTCCCACCAAACACGTACCGTCCCTCACTATCTCTCGAAACAGCCAACGGTAAAAACCTAGATTCATCCCTATGTTGGCTTAACCTCAACTTTCCCTTCTTCAACTCACTCTGTCTGTCGTCCGTCTTATTGGAGTACTCTCCGTTTTTTTGTATCATTCCAACAGGCTCTTCAATCTCACCAAGAACATGTCCATACACCACCAATCTATCCCCATCAACAAAGAATTTATTCATGTTCTGAGGAAATGTTGAAGACTCTAAATTCCATTGCATACTTTCTGGCTCGCCTGGTCCCGGCAACGGGGATGAGAAATCCGGAACTCAAGACGGCCAGTCTTTGTCTTTTGGGGGCTTCTTATGTGTATTAATCATTCTCAGAGCCCCTAGATCTCCATCTTCTTTTAGGATATATCGCGTAGTGTCGGTACACAGTTTCCTCAGCGACTGCTTGTGATCAATTTGTGGAAGCTGTGCGGGTACTTTCTTGGTCCAGGATGTCCAAAAAGGAACTTTATACATGATACTGGAGTCTAATGCCATTCCCAAAACACTATACACATGATCCATTGGCAACGTGGACTCTTTGCCTCGGAACCTAGCGAGAAGCTCTCCTAAATTGACTTCCTTCTGCCCTGCGAGTTTGAAGTCGCGATTGGTGCCAGGAACGACATATATTGACTTCGAGGAAGTCCGGTATGTCTGCATGGCCAATCTTAGCTGGTAGATACGCGGTATGACCTCCGGTTCATTAAGATACTGGGCAGGAATCCGATTCTTGATCTGGGGAAAGTTGTGAATGATGAAAACGAGATCGAGAATATTTGTTACATCGTGATGGCCTACAAGAATTTTTCGATTGGACGATAACACCATTTCTTGGATTATCCAGGATCGCGTGAAATATGGTCGAGCGAGTATATTCTGCATTGCTTTCCAGCCAGACACATACTCCAGCCCAGTATGCCAGTCACTGTCGACCCAATTCTGCAGCCACGCTTGTAAATCAGCTGAAGGTTCCTTTTGAGCAATCGACTCGGCCTTTCTTCGCAATTCTCCGCTTTTCATCTCGAAGTGAGAGATAATCTCGGCTGCAGCATTTAGATCGAGCGATTTGTCGTCTTCACCAAGCTAGACAAGTACACGAGTAGCATTCATGTAGATTAGATGCATGATGCGTGGTTGCGTGTCTTTTTCAAATAGATCGTTCTGATCGATGCTGATGGCATCGATCCACAATGGGGCAGGGTTGGGATTATCACGAAGGACGAGAAGTGCGGAGTGGAGATTAGGTGTGATACTGAAAGGCTGCCCATTCAACTTTATTGGTCTGCGGTATTTATTAGTTGATATTTCACTTTTTGCCGTTTTCCATAGAGTATGAAAGGATGATACCATATCTACATTACAACCCATGAAAAAATGTACGGCCCATCCTCACATACTTGGATCTTTAAACATTGTGTATATCTGCAAGTGTTTCAAATTTTAAGATAAGAAATTCTTGTTTTCTCGTAAAAGTTTTGGATTTTGTACATGTTTCTCCACGATTCATTGGTATCATTCAGCACTTGCCAAGCACTATGCCAACTCCGAGTAGATGAATACACAGCAAGGAAATGCAAATAACGAACAAAATATAGACATACACTTTATTCTTCCCATCGCCCCACCGATATGATAGAGCTTCATACGTAGGCACATTTGGGTAGAGCGGAGAGAAATCCGCATAGAGTTCCACCGGGTGAAATTTGACATGATTCAATTCCAATTCAATCGGATCGTCCCGATTCCCAGCCTTGATACTAACCAATCGGATATAGCCTTTGTGCAGAATTCCATACCGATACGATGCCGATGAATCTTTTGATTCGTAGGTAAAATTCTTAGCGTATACGGATTTGAGGGGATGCACTAGAATCCAATCTATTATTTCAGACGCAAGTGGAAGGGATATCATAAAGTAAATCAGGAAAAGCCGCCAATCGCCTATTTTGAATCGTGCCGCAGATCAAAAAGAAGAAGGGGGTTTCGTGTGAGCTTGTCGGACAGGAATCTGGAAATGAATTTTATTTTGATAAGGGGTAACGAGGATGGGCCTAAGGGTAGCTTGGGTTTCGAAGGGTACTCTTCTATACCTCTTAAGGACGGAGACAGAAACCATGTTGTTGGGTCCCTTTCATTCCGAAACCTCCTGAAGGAGGTGTAGTCAAGTTGTCTTCAGACTGAAGCAACGGTCATGATGATAAGCCAAGGATGCTTATGCATACTACTCAATTACGAGACCACGTGAGAGGTCCGCTCCTATTCGCTAGAGGTTTGATACCAGCAAAAGACAGTGTATAAGAAGTTTTGGTAGACGGTGTAAGTACGTTCCAATTGATATTCAAGCTGAAAGCTTAGGACAAAAGAAACGAAAGAAGAGTTCACACTAAGTTCAAGCATTTCGAGTGCTCGTCCTGTTCAGCCTCCTCATCGCATGGGTTTGACCCCGCAGAACGCAGGGCATGTCTATTCGTTGCGAGATTGATGGGGCACTGGAAATTTGGAGTTTGGAGCCTTGCAGATTGAACAAGAATGAAATTGTACAATGTGAAGACGCCGAAAGCAGAGTAGAAGTCACTCACATCCATCTAGTAGGTAGTGAACATAGTAGTGCTCCACCGTAATCCGTTCGCTGGAGAAGACAAAGATATGGTCCAAGCTCAAAATTCTCCGTCACCAGGCTACTTATTAATTGCAAGGCTGTAGAGCTTCCTGAATCTCCTACTGGCAATGCCGAATTCATAATATCTGCGGATAATAAACAATTACCAGACCAATATGTCTGTCTCAACTCTTGCTTCATTTGAATACCTGGAAAGATTACCAGGTACAACTTTCAGGCGGTTGTATCAGCAACCTTCTACTTCTTTGGCCATTTTCAGGCGCATGCTGCCTCATCTTGCTAAAACCTTTGTGATGGCACTACTCTATATGCCTAAGCCTTTGCCCCTCACTGTTCTGGATCAATGGGTACAACCTAAGAGCAAGAAGTATGTATCCTGACTGGGAATTGATGGCATACGCTAAAATGTCCTAGGCAGAAAGATCAAGCCCTATCCTTACTATCGCGACTGCATATTGTCGACATTACTGCGCTGAGCCGAGAAGATCCTCAAACAGTAGCTTTGACTAAGAACTTTGGAGCCTCTCTACGACTGGCACTTACAGGTGGAGGAAATCATCAATCTTTCGGGGTTCCTTCGTCGGACCATATTGCGCCACATGTTGATATTGACTTCTTGGATACACATGCTCGAATACAATGGGAAGGGATTCTGCATTATATGGTCAACACTGTTACATCCGGGTCAGGGAGAGATGGAAATGGGCCTGCAAATTCAGTCAAGGCACTACTTGATGCAGGAAAATTGGTGACAAGAGGTCGAAGTATCGGTATCACTCAAGCTGGATTCTCATTTCTATTGCAAGAAGCCAATGCGCAAGTCTGGACTCTGCTCCTTCTATGGATTGAAAATGCTGAAAGTATGGGAATGGACTCCGTCGATGTACTTTCTTTTCTCTTCATGCTAGGCTCCCTCGAACTCGGACGTGCATACAGCACTAAGACTCTCACAAACGCCCAGCAAGGGATGCTGGCTAATCTCATTGACTTGGGGCTGATCTACCTCCCTCCTTCAGCCCCTACACAATTCTTTCCAACACGTCTAGCCACAACTCTCACCTCTGATGCCAGCGCACTTCGCACTGTGGCTGCAGGATTCGATGCCGCCTCCAAATCTGCCGCCAGCCAAAAGGGTTTCATAATAATCGAGACTAACTACCGCCTATACGCTTATACAAATTCACCCCTCCAAATTGCCGTCCTTTCACTCTTCACCAAACTCAACACTCGTTATCCTAACATGGTCAGTGGCCGCGTCTCTCGCGATTCTATCCGTACCGCCATAGCTCATGGCATTACATCCGACCAAATAATTACCTATCTATCCACCCATGCGCATCCTCAACTCGTCAAAGCTTCTTCCGCGTCCCATGGAGGACCTGTACTACCACCCACAGTCGTTGATCAAATCCGTCTCTGGCAATTGGAAAACGAGAGAATGAAAGCCGTGCCAGGGTTCTTGATGAAGGATTTTGAGACCCAGAAGGAATACGAGGGTTGTGCGAAATATGCTGAGGAGGTGGGAGTATTGGTTTGGAAGAGTGATGCGAAGAGGATGTTCTTTGTTACGAGGGTGGAGCAGTTAAGAGATTACTTCAAAGCGAAGAAAATAAGATAGTGATAGGGAAGAAAGAGGAGAAAATCTTGGGTGTTGCGCTATTCATTCAGACCAACAGTGCTATTGTGTGATGATGGATAACTGCTCGTCACAAACCACGCACCTTGAAGAGATACACCCAAGGATGACAAAGTAAAACAGAGATGACGCACTTTGGCAACACGGCGCATTCCAATATCTCAATTTTCAAAATAGAACAAAATTGGCCGAAAGGGATGGGAGTCGCGATGGATTAGGATGGGATGGGACAGGAAATGGTGCATAGCGAGGCGTTTACGGTGTTCAAATAAAGCCACATGATTTCGGGGGATTTATATACCTACATATACCGTAGATACCAAGAACAGTAGATACCATTCCTACTACTCCCGGTATTCACAATCGCAAGATTCAGGGTCTTCCAAAAGCCCAGAATACTTGACTTTTTAGATGAACTGAAAATATTCACACAATATATGATGAATGCGCGAGCAGTTTCGTTAGTACCTGCATAGGTAAACAGATTTCCGAATACCTGCGATCAATTGATTGCCACTTCCTCCATCCACCTGAATATCACGTTTTCCTTGAGAGAATATCCCACATACCCTCCACGTCTTAGATCATTTCAGCGTACCTACCTACCTAGGATTTGCTGAAGCTCTGCTCTGCTGGTCAGTAGGTAGGTAGGTAAAGCTGAGAAGTTTGTTCCGGGCTGATCTACCTACTACTCCTTTCTTCTTTTCAATTTTGTTTTGTTTTATCTTGTGCGATGCTAGCTGCCTTGTTTGATTCCATCTTAGCATACCTAAGTAAGTACCTACCCTACCTCGAGCCTACCTACCCACACGCCCAGCACACAGAAACCATCCATCCCGCATCAGATATGCAAACAAACTCTTCCCACACCCCCTACAATTCCCTAATTCCCTAATCCTCGCCCCAATTGCTCACCTTAACTCATTATAAACACATCAAGCATTCAAACCATCAATTTCATAATCATAATATTGTATCCTATCTTCCTATCACTAGCTCATATATTCCTCCCTCCCTCACTTTCCAGTCACCCATCCATCCATCCATCCATTCAACAACCAGGTAGAATGCCATTACGGCTTTCCCAAATACCCACCCACGCATCCATCCACGCATCCATCCATCCATCCATCCATCCATCTATCTGTCCACCCACCCGTCCACCCATTACCAAACCAAATTACCAAAGAGAGAGAAAAAAAAAGTATTTCGTAACTTCATCGAACCGTGCAAGATGCATACGTATTCAGCACCAAAAAAAAGAGAAGAGAGGGAGAAAGTGCGAAAGTTGTACGTATCGCTAGGTATCCTAACTATGTATCTTCCAATAAACAACCAGAAGACGAAAAGCAATAAACCGTAAAATCGCAGCTGTAAATATCATCATCGTATGAACCATTTCCATATTCGATATCCCTCCAATGAACCCCTCCATTTCAGATACAGTCTAGATAGGCATGCCGTGAAAAGAGTTCAAATAGTAAATTAAGAAAAAGTGCAATTTCTACCTGCATGAAATTAACAAGCTCCGTCCAGCCAGCCATGAGATAATATGTGTCAAAGCCATTCATTAATCCATCTCGACTCAATAAACGCTCGAAATGCGTGATATAAAGCAAAAGGTATTTATTGTCAAAGGGGTAGAAATTAAGTCAGGGTAGCCAGCATGGCTCTAACCAATTTTGGTGGAGGAGCTGTGAAGAATAAGCGGGTTAGCTCTCATTCACAAAAACCACCCATTCCGATCTCAAGTGACCCACCTCATTCAGGCAAGACACCTAACGATAGGCATGTTTAGGAACACTGATGCTCATCCTACCTTTTCGGTCCTTTTCGATCCTAACACCTCCCTCAGGCTCCACAATTCTTTCCCTTCTCACAACGGTCACGTCTCTACCATCATGGATTTCCTCTTCATAAAGTACCAACTGGCTGTCGCTATGTCGGGCTCCTGAACGACGAAGACGCTCCGCGCGGCGGAACTCTCGGTTAGCCTTTCGATCCGCTTTGAGTGCTAGCTTCTCGGCCTCGAGAGCTTCCTTCTCGAGCTCGAGAGCTTTGATCTCAGCTCGAATCGAGCGTCCACCCTTGTGATGACTATTAGAGTGTGATAAGGTCATTGCACCGATAGGCTCTGTGCGCTCAATAATTTCCCTCTTTTCGTAAAAGACGCTCTCTTCGTCTCGCGATCTAGGGCGCCCTTCCAATATGACGGGTTCATTATGGTGATGAGTATGGTGGCTATGGTGACTGTGATGAGAGTATGTGCTTCGTGCTGGAGATGGAGACCGTTCGACGATCTTAGTGGACTCGTGGATCTCAACATGCTGTTGAGGCGGGGGTGGTGGTGCATATATAACTGGTTGAGGTGGTGGCGCATATACGACTGATGCGGGAGGTGGTGCCCATTGAGCTGGAGTTGGGGGTGGATGTGCATAGTGAACCGACTCTGGCGGAGGAGGCGGATAGTGGACTGACTCTGGCGGAGGAGGCGGATAGTGGACTGACTCTGGAGGAGGCGGATAGTGTACGGATGGAGGAGGTGGAGGAGCATGGTGTACAACTGATGGAGGATGCGGAGGTGCGTGATGTACTACTGGTGGTGGGGGTGGTGGAATAGTGAAGACCTCCGTACGTTCTTCGATCACAGTTCCAGCTTCTGATCGGCCACCTGACATTTCGAGTTCTGGAGCGATGAGGTATGTTGTTAGAGTTGTCTCAACCTCCTTCGTCTCTTCGACTCTGGCTTCTTTGGAAGCATGGGATTAGGGGGCATTTTGATGCGGTGGTGAAGAGTAAATGAAAGATAGATACTTACTCTCAGCTGCTTTATATTCCTCACTCAATTTGATAACCTCATCAATGTTTTCTCTTCCAAGTGCCTTTTGAATGATGATTGTGTCACCCTATACATGTTAATACGATTTGACTCACGGATGAATCTTTAGAATGACTGACCTCTTCTTCAAAAGGATAATTCAAATCAATGATAGCTTTCTTGCTGACCAACCTAGCTGGCATTCTTGTCTTTCCCTTCTTAGGGAACTCACTTCTTACTGATATCGTAGTACCACTATCAGATGAGCTAACACTCTCGCTTCTGACGCTTCTTGTGGCAGTCGAACGACTCTCCTTGCTGTGACTTCTGTGGCTTCTTCTTTCATGGCTGCCTCTTCTCTCGTGACTTCTTCTCCTTCGTCTGACGATTTCTCTTTCTCTAATTCTTTCGGGATAAGCTCTGAAGTCTTCATCACCATAGAAGTCGGGTTCTGCGACCTTGATTTCGTCGTAGTCTCTCTCGGCATATCTTCTAGGTGGGGGCAGTCCTCTAGTTCTTGGTAGTGGAACAGGTGTCAAAGGTGGTGGTCTAACATCTGGGCGTCTGGCCGGTGGACCATACTCATCCCTCAACCTCTCGGCTTCTCTCTCATACCTTACCAGCGGCTTGCGGTCAAATGTATCAAGAGAACTCTGTCTTCTCAAAAATGCGGGTCTGCCACCAGCTCTTCGAGGAGGTGGTGGAGATTCATCCCTTTCCCTCTCTCGCTCTCTTTCCATTGTAATAGTTGTAGATCTTTGTCGTCCTGGTTCTGGTTCACGTTGAAGCCTGGGTGAATCGTAGTAATCTCGTTCGTCGTAATGTTCTCGCTCCTCTTCGTATCCTCGTGGACCTCGACGCTCGTAAACATCATCAAAAGATCGTTCTCGTGCATGGCCACCTGTAGCTCTGAGAAATCGGGAGTCTCGTTCTTCTCGATCGGGTGCGAAACGGACTCGGTCGCGCTCCGAGGCGAACCGCTCACTGTCCCAACGGTTCCCCCCACCGCCACGGCTGCTTAGGGTTTCCGAGGAATTTCGATATGGATCACCCATTCTAGACATGATTTCTCGAATTTAAGTTCGAAAAAAATCAAAATGAACGGCGTGAGAAATGGATTTAGATTGTTGAAAGGTTGAACAGTTCGAGAAGTTGTTGTTCAGCTGAGGGATGTCTTATGCGAAACGACCCAGTTGATTGCGATGGTGAAGTCGTACCCCGCTTAAGTGATTAAAAACGTGGTGGGTGTGCTCTGTATGGTAAACCCAACCAAGTATCAATCACAATCAAACCAAAAGACGCTGGCTGCCGGAGATGAGAGGTATAAAATTTTCACGATATGAAAATAAGGAGGTTGGAGTATAATTATTGTGTTAAGGTTCGAGAACTTATGATTAAAGTTCTTTTTAGGGAAAAAAATAGGAGACGGTGGATAATTCTTTCGAGGATGTGGGATTTTGAATTTTGACTTTTTGGGGAGAATTTGGAGGTTGGAATTGAGAGGTTATGAGCAAAGCGGTGCAAAGCGTGCAAAGCGATGCAAAGTTAACACAAACAGGTTAAAGTGACGAAAATATTCAAGGATTCAAGGATTCACTCATGGTTTGTACACTTCGTATCAAGACGCCATATCATTGGGTTGATGATATCTGGTATGTACCGATGCACCTTTGCTGCCCAAGGAGATCATTACACGTGAAAGGTTTCTGAATGGATAGAAAGATTCTCACTACCAACCTAGCCCTGGTAGGTGTATTGTATGTATGTGCTTCGTATGTGGATGTATGTGGATGTATGTTGATGGAGCATAAACTTTCCCCGAGTATAACTGTATAGGTATGCTTCGTTGTCTTGCGTTTGATCTATTGATTTATAGTGGTCGAGTATGTATGTATGTATACCTCGATATATAGGTAGCAAATGTTCATTGTCTGGAACTGTATCGAATTGTATAGGATTGGTGGCCTTTCTGATCTCTTCCACATCTAATTTGATTATACCTCGAGTACGATCTGCGGAGTATAACCCTAGATATATAGATAAATATATACATGTATATATACTAGTATACACACATACACACGGTAAATACTAGACATGTGTCATAATACTCCGTATATACACACACACACACACTCTCTCTCTCTCTCTCTTCCCCTTTGCATTGAATTTTGATCTTTATCTTTATTCTCTTTCTCATTTTGATTGTTGGCCGGCAGTGACCCAAGAATCTCCCCCACTACCTACTTCGTACTATCTTCTTTCCCAGGTATTATCCGTGAATGGGTTCCACAAGGCACAGGGCTTTACCCAAGGGTTTCCTTACCGTCCCTTGTGGGAAAAGATTCTAGGGCCAGGTGACGTAGATGGCGATCAGATTAATTACTTTTAAATCTTATGCCCGAGTATCGATACCGAGTGATAACCATGTACTTCGTACGATGCAATGAATGTAACACAGGATACGTATGATATATGATATGGATATCTGGCATGATATCAAAAATACCAGGTACGTATGTGTTACAAAGCATATGGATTACGAGTTCGTGATCAATTGGGAAATGAACATATACAATGTATTCATCGAACAATATAATAAGTAGGTAACCTTACCTGAAGTGATGCCCAAATTTTGAGCTCCTAGTCTCTCTGAGATTAATAAAATCTCTCTAGCAATCATTGAGGTGCATCTAGCTGAGTTCGTCAGCATTCGACAATCATCACATGACTCGATTGGCTCTCTGAGATACCAATCATTATATATGTGCACCTAACATCATTACAAGAACACACCTACCTTGGTATGATAGTCTGACTGTCTAAGTTCCATCTCCCTACAGCACTAGAGACTAGAGTCACACTTATGGCAAACACTTCTATCCAGCCCGTCCCATCCCACTATTTATTAGTCTTCAACAAAAGAAAGAACGTGAACGTTAGCTCTTCTTCGATTTGGACGTACTTTATACTTCAAATACTACTTGGGAGAATCCTGCGTGGATCTGAGAATATCACTCTCCATCACCATCTGCATCAATAAGAACCATCTGTGATTGAAGTCAATCGCTACGTTTGATACATCAAAAGAATGTGACCAAAGGCCTCTGATACTCTGGAAGTCCATAATTGAGATCCTAGAGGGGGCCTTTTCGATACTACCGCGGATTCTTTCTCGTGCAGAAAGCCATTTTGGTAAACCGAATAGCATTTGGTCATAGTAAGTCGATCGTGACGGCTTTTTTGCTACGCCGTGCCATTGTTGATTTCATCCAGTTCTCATCAGCTGACTAGGACGACACTTTACAAACTATCTGAGGTTATTCCATACCTCGCAAAACATCAAATCCATTCCATGCAATGATTTGATCCAAGTGTGAGCTTCTTTCCGAGGATTTTCCGATGGTGGAGTGATAAGAAACTCTCTATTCGAAAAAGAAATACGAGTCGGTATTTGACAACCTCGATAAAACTTTTGAGAAGTCGATTGCTCCCCTCGAATATTGATTGGGATGAGGCCTTCTCTTCAAATATGATTTAAATACTTGGAAACTAATAATCCCTTTGATCTATTCGGAACCATATGTATTCCATTTATAGTTAAGTTATAATTCATTTAATTCAAAGGATTTCAATGTATAATTGACTGGCCAAATTCATACTGTTTTTGTCTCCTACAAATACACTGTATCTGATATTCTTGAGATTCTTCGAGGTAAAAACTCTGTGAATCTTACTTAGAGCTGGATAATTCAGCCGGAGAATCGAGGATGGTGTTATGTTGTAAACATCCGATAGCTTCTACATCGCCTCGCCTCAAATCTTCGACAACGTTCCAACGTTCGCGCATGTTCGAACCGCCATCCATCTATTAACAAGCTTAGGAGATCCATATAGTTCCGCTTGCAGATCGCAAAATTTTCCGTTCTTCAATCACCCGGAATAGCAAGGTTTGATTTCCTTCACAAGGTGAATAGAGTTATCACGAACCCCACCGGTTAAGTTGTCATTCAGATTATCATTGGCGAGTTTATCTCATGACGCAGGCGGGTGCTAGATCTTCCCCGCATGCAAAATACATCGTGGAGAAGCTTGGCCTTCAACCGGCAGCGGAACGAGATGTTCCGTCTGCAATTCGGAGTACAAATTAATTCATACGATCTATACTCTACAAAAGGTTAGTTGTAGACTGTTCCCCGCTGCGTTACAAGGAGTCAATTCAAAGGATACCATTGCAGTTTTTATATATCTACCCATTCTAGTCTATGAACATGTCTTCTTTTATCTTCTTGCTCTCGGAAAGTTCGGCAGGTTGCGGTCTTTTGAATTAAGTGGTACATGTTCTTCTCTCAATATTATCAATTAGATCTTTATACTTTCAATACCAAAATCGTACGCTTCTTGATAAGTTTTGCAAAGATGGCTTCGTTACGCTTGACGACTGTGCTTGCTATCACGTCTTTCCTCGCTTCCGTTCAGGGAGCACCATTAGCCCAGAATACTCAGAAACACTGCTCAGCAACCTCACACTGGCCAGGTTGGAACAAACTCCAATATGCATTTGTCTTGTGAGAAACTCACCAAATAACAATGCAGAATAAACATGCTAATTATACTAGTGGGGACTCTTACACGCAGACTGGCTTCGAGACGAATGGTACTCAACCGACACCTACCAATCCACTTGGAAATCCTACCTATCCAGGTTAGAAAACCTTCGATTTGACATGCTTCTAAGTAGCTCTGACTTCTCCTAGGCTATACTTCTTCCAATGGTCCGAATTGGGTAGACTATCTCACAGTCAAATACAACAAATCTGCCGTGTTAACGTATAATTTGGCGTATGGAGGAGCCACCGTCAACTCCGCTCTTGTAGCACCTTATAAGCCAGAAGTTTCATCTATTGCCAATCAAATTGAGAATCAGTTCTTCCCCACCTACGCAGGAAAGCCAGGGATAGCTCCATGGTCATCTGACAACACCCTTTTTGCTCTTTTCGACGGCATCAACGATGTTGGTAATTCGTATTTCCTTGGAGCTCCGGCAACTGCAAACCTTAACGAACGAATCATGGCAGTTTATCACGGTCTAGTAGATGAGCTCTACTACATTGGCGCTCGTAATTTTGTATTCCTGAATGTTCCACCTGTGGATAGAAGCCCATTGTCGATTTCCGGCGGGGCTGCAGCGCAAGCCCTGGAAAAGCTTGATATTGCTGATTGGAATAACCGTCTTGCGGCACTTGCCCAAAGCCTCAAGAAAACCTTCACGGATGTCAATGTTTTCACAGTTGACGCTCATGGCCTCTTCACTAAAGTCTTAGATAATCCGAAGAGGTTTCCTCAGACATCTGTCTACCACAATACCACTGCTTATTGCGTCGCGTACGAGAAGTAAGCTATTCCCTTCATTACTCGGCTGATTTTGACCTGCTAACCAAATTACTGCAGCGGTACGCCGACATCAAATTACAGCGATCCATCTTGCTACATACCTGTCAACGAGTATTTCTGGTTGAACTCATTACATCCTACTTATCCTATGCATGACGTTTTGGCACAGGGGGTTGCGGCAGTGTTGGAATCAGGACCCAACGTTTGTTAGGAACTTCTTTATATGCACTATATTGAGCTCTAGGGATCTTTCTTAGTATTGCAATACGTACTTTTCTACTTGACTATCGTCTTCGTGTCTTCTCGTGTAACCAAGGCGAAAAGCTTTGTATCCTGACCTTTAAAATTTGGTTCTCCTCAACATGTCGCTTCGATTTTACCTACAAACAGTCTTTCTTGTTCCTCTTCATGTAAACTCTCTATTTCTTGATCAGTTGTCCTTCACTGGTATTAGTAAGGCCACGCATGATGCTTAACGTCTTTGCGGTGAATTATTCCCTCGATCGATCTGATCCAAAGACTGCCGGGATCGACTATAAATTTTTGTACAACCACATTGTCAAAATGAGACAAATGAACTTCCCTATCAAGACTTTCCTATTTCCCAGCAACCAACACGAAATCTTCCGGAAATTCATCCCTAATCCGTGCAGCTCATTTCGAGAACGTTTTGCAATCACGTGGCTCGGGATTCCATGACCCAATTGGGGTTAGAATATCTTATCTTGAGCTTATCGGACCCCTCTATCCACTTTTCCAAGCTTTCATTGTCGTTGGAACAGCTATCGAAGCCATCGGTCATAGAATCGGACGAGCTAGGATTTGTCCAGCCATACGATAATCTCACAATCCTCTTGAGAAATGTAATGAGAATACCACTTCAGAAAACTTTCATGCGCTGGTCTGTCGTGTCTTGACCTGATTGATATACCAAGTCCCGCTCACGCACAGGTACCTGACGTTCAGTGGAGATACTCGTAGAAGATATATATTTGGAGCTTCCAGTCCTCCCATCACCTTTCTTTCTGTATACCGCTTCCTGTTGTTTTACTTCTCGTATAAAATAATCTTTATTCTGAAATCCCTTAACGAATCTAGAGTCTCAATTGGATATCTATCTGTCTGTTGTTTTCATCTCCCAATTGACTTCTGCAATTCGCTAGAATGGCTACCAATAGACTCCAATCCCTCGCATATCACCTCGCCGCAACTTCCCCTCCACCTCATCCATTCGATCCTCTTTCCAATGCAGAAATTGAGAAAGCAGTTCAGATCATCCGAGCTGAAAAGGGATCCGTTCATTACAATGCCATCACATTATATGAACCCCGCAAAAAGGAGATGATGAAATGGCTTGAGAGCCCAGAAGTCGTTCCAAGACCAAAGAGAATCGCAGATGTGGTGGTTATTGCCCCAGGTGGTAAGGTGTACGATGGCTTGGTTGATCTGGCAGAGGGAAGAGTGATGAAATGGGAAAACATTGACGGTGTACAACCTTTGGTATGTTCTCTATGTATCTCGAGGGAACAAAAGCTAACAATCATTTCAGATCACCATGGAAGATCTCCAGATTGTCGAGCATGTCGTTCGTAAAGATCCTAAGGTCATCGAACAATGTGTGTTGAGTGGTATTCCAGCGGAAGATATGCACAAAGTGTACTGCGATCGTAAGTCCCCTGTATTTCCCCTCGTTTACTCCCCTTATACTAAGCGATAACAGCATGGACCATTGGTTACGACCACCGATTTGGCAACAACGTTCGTCTACAACAAGCCCTCATGTATTATCGACCACACATGGATGATTCTCAATACTCTTTCCCCCTTGATTTCTGTCCTATTTTCGATGCCGAAAAACAAAAGATCATTCACATCGATATCCCTGAAGTTCGACGACCTGTGAACAAGGCAGCGCCAAACAATTATCATCCAGCGAGCATTGAGAAAGAAGGAGGCTACAGGAAAGATATCACTCCAATCAATATCACACAACCGTCTGGCGTATCATTCAAGGTCAATGGTCGAGAGCTCAATTGGCAAAACTGGAACTTCCATGTCGGATTCAATTACAAGGAAGGTATTGTTCTCAACAACATTACATACAATGACAAGGGTACCGTGAGACCTGTGTTCTACAGACTTTCTCTCGCTGAGATGGTTGTTCCTTATGGTAATCCCGAACATCCTCATCAACGTAAACACGCTTTCGATCTTGGAGAGTATGGAGGAGGATACATGACCAACAGTCTCTCTCTCGGCTGCGACTGCAAAGGGGCTATTCATTACATGGTACAGTCTTATCCAACCCAGCATAAAATACACCCAGCCATTTCTAACAATAGACAATATAGGACGCCGCCTTTGTGAACCGTGCCGGTGAGAGCACCACCATCAAAAACGCCATCTGTATCCACGAAGAAGACGCCGGTATCCTCTTCAAACATACCGATTTCCGCGACGAATCCGTCATCGTGACTCGCGGTCGCAAACTCATCATCTCCCACATCTTCACCGCCGCCAACTACGAATACTGCGTCTACTGGATCTTCCACCAAGACGGCACCATCCAACTCGAAATCAAACTCACCGGTATCCTCAACACCTACTCCATGAACCCCGGCGAAGACACCAAGGGCTGGGGCACCGAAGTCTACCCCGGCGTCAACGCCCACAATCATCAACATCTCTTCTGTCTGCGCATCGACTCCAACATCGACGGCCCCAACAACACCGTCTTCCAAGCCGACGCCCTCCCCGGCGCCGGCGCCGTCGGCTCCCCCGAAAATCCCTACGGCAACGCTTTCTTCGCCAAGAAAACCGAATACAAAACCGTCAACGAATCCATCTCCGACTACGACGGCGTCACCTCGCGCACCTGGGAAATGGCCAACCCCAACAAACTCAACCCCTACTCCCACAAACCCGTCTCCTACAAACTCGTCAGTCGGGAGGTGCCCAAGCTCCTCCCCAAGGAAGGTTCGCTCGTGTGGAAGCGCGCCGGCTTCGCCCGCCACGCCGTTCACGTGACGCCCTACTCAGACGACCAGCTGCACCCAGCCGGCCGCCACGTGCCGCAGACATCGGGCGAGCCCAGCGCCGGCTTGCCCGAGTGGATCGCCAACGGCGAGGCGTCGATCCAGAATACGGATATTGTGCTCTGGCACACGTTTGGCATCACGCACTTCCCCAGCCCCGAGGATTTCCCCATCATGCCGGCGGAGCCCATGACGCTGTTGTTGAGGCCGAGAAATTTCTTCACCAAGAATCCCGCCTTGGATGTGCCGCCTAGCTACTGCAGTACGCCGAGCAGTGTGGCGGCGAGTAAAGGTGGGGAGGCGAAGAGTGTGTTGAATTTGACGGATGGGGAGAGTAGGTTGGTGGATGGAAAGAAATGCTGTTGATGGGATCATCTCACATGAGTAAACGAGTTTCAAGAAGCGCTGTAATTGAAATTGAGGATTGTTTTGGTTATTTGGATTTGGCGCGTTGTATATAGTACTGCATTTGAGGAGCCCTTGAAAATGTTATTTATGTTATGTTATGATTCGTTCAAATTCTTGCTATGCTTCCCTCTTCTTCAGTATCGTTTTCTCTTCAGTACTGCATCTTTATCACCAAGAGCAAAAGTAATCTGCTTCATCAATGGTAATTGATACCCATCTTCCAGCTTCGAGGTAGTTTTCATCAGCTAGCGGGCTTGTAAGCGAGGATTCGAGCATTGCAGTTTGATAGGCCAATTGACTATGCGTCTTTTTGCTAGGAAGATGTTGGAGCTCGTATTTGGTCAGTGTCGATAATTGGCTGGTATGTAGATTTTTAAATAACGTTCCCAGATCACTGTTCATAGCAAATATTCAAGCATCAAATCAATACTGGTATAATGTTTCGATGTTTCAAACGTTCTCATTACTATTACTGCTGCTCTTTTCCCTCGCCAATGAGAAACCAGAAATAATCAACTATAGCTATTTATTAAAAAATGTCTTAGAATCTGTCTTTCCATCTCATCTTAGTGTACTGTGGTGACCCATTTCGTAGGCCATCTTGATGTTCTCATAGAAATCGTGCTGTGGTTGATCATCTCGTGTCGTACGATTCGTATCTCATATAATTGTATCGTATTGAATCGCTCATAACCATCGTATTGAATCGAATAATCGTATGCTTGTAAGCATCTGCTATGTTCATTTGCATTTGTAAAGTCCAATGTCGTTCCTGAAATCAATATTTTGGCATCCCCTGTTACCACGACCTTGGAGCTAAAGATATTAAGCATGTTAGTATTCCAACACGTGAACCTTCGCTTCCAATACATCCAAGCTCTGATCATCGAAAATTGGAGGAATAGTTAGCGATCTTCCGCTGCACTTCTACCACCTTTCCGGAGGCTAAAAGCGCTTCGCTTTCCCATTACAGTTCCTCTTCCGTTTGTACCGTTTTTGTTTCCATTAACACCGTCACTAATGACTTTTCCCATCCTCCCAAAGAAGCCCTTATCATCTGCATCATTTCTAGGCATTAGAGCTTTATTCTTCATTACTGTAGCATATTGAATTTGCCATTCCCTGAGACTCTTCTTAGCCGGACTTGTACAGCACAATGATGCGAGAAACACCATGACCTTCTGAGCTCGCTTATCAAAATCCTCAAGAAAGTGAGCTGGAGTTGAGAAGGCGAGAACAGTCTTATGTGATTTGACTGGGGTCTTCCTGTGGGATCTCTCCAGGAATGGGGCCGGCGAATCAGAATTCGATGGAGAACTGGCTTCCCGGAGTGTCTTACCGGCGCGTCGGTGGTGAGAGGATGGCTTTTCACGTTTGATATCGCTATCTCGTGGAACAGGAAGGGGATTGATGACACAAACATGAAAATCTTCGCTCTGATACCGGTCTGACACGGCTTGAAATCGACCGCACCAGTAAGCAAAAGGCTGAGCAGTATGAACCTGAAGTGTATTTGTTGTAAACTCCGGAATCGGCGAATATTTTGTTGTCGAGATAGTTGGGCCTGCAGAATGAGTGGGGTTTGACGTTGAGCGATTACTATGAAGCCATTGAATAGAGGATGAGTTCTTGAGCGTAGAGAAGACACCAAACGTTTTTGATTTGGGAAGAGAAGTCGATTCCTGTTTTGGCTCCGGTGTCAGCTCCGATATTTTGAAAGCAGTTTGGTATGATCCCGCAGGAGATGTTCTATTGGTTTGAATGTGTGGTAATCCCCAAACTGGTGAAGTGTGCCATCTTCGTGCTCGACTTTCTTCTCCCTTCTCTATAGCTCTCCTCACTGGAGAATGAAGATGTCGACGACTAGTAGACTTCAAGTTGGATCCTGATGTGGGGCTTGGAATCCTTGAGGAGCCACGATCTGGCATTCTCTGATTTTGAGAATGTGGTTGGCTAATATCCGTACTGGATGCAGAAGCAGTTAAGACAGAGCTAGCAACGGTAGGATTGCTATATAGCGGATGCGGGTAGTAATTGTTGGTGTGTGCAGACCCACGACGACCATGCAAGACTCTTTCATGCAATTCACTTCTAGGGGCAAACGGAACTGGCGGAGTGTTTTCATTGGAGTCTGATAAATTCTTGGTGTTTGGAGATGAAGCTGAGTATGGTAAATTGCTAACCTGGTTTCGTTTTGACAAAGACGGGGCCGATGAGTTTGAAGAAGAAGACTGTGAATTCTCTAGAAACTCTATGTCGCGAGCTGTCAATTCAGGCAGGAAATTACGTCTTTGGTGAAGTCTGCCCCTTTTATCATCGGTGTGAAGTAGGGATGAGGTCAAGGCCGGTGAGCTTGAGGGTATTCTATGTGCTGTTGAAGCTGCGATTTTCGTGTATTGAGAATTCGAATGTGGACCTTTGGACGAGTGGTCTGGTGAAGGGGCACTATTTGCATCATTGGTTCTGGTGCGTGGGGATAACTTTAGATTCACAGATTCCTTTCCGAGCCGGAACCGTGAAGACGAGACCGAAACTGGTGAATTGTTGACAGGTCTACGCAGGGACGATGCCGGGCAAGGCAAATTACTACTTTTGGGGGGTGAAGAAGCTGTGCCACGCGAGATTGGAGAATGATGAGCAGTCCTTTTAACAAGAATTGGGAGGGTCTCAACTAGCCATTGCGTGTTTGACCCCCGTTCATATCTGTAAGTAGAGCGTTTTGAGGAGTTCAAATGACTATCTTCCTCTGATAAATGACTCGGTGGGAGTGCGGCAATGCGACGGTGATAGTTGGCCATATCCGTTGATTTGCTCTCTACAAAAGTCTCAACAAATTAGCATGCAAGTTTCAGAAGGTGCATAGAGCGACAAGAAAGTCATCCAACATCCTCAAAATTGCATGAAAGCTTATTTTGGAAGTGTGTTTGCCGACTGTGAAGCCATACAAATGCGAATACAGATAGATATGATGGATTTGCACGGTTTGCATCGTATGTAATCCAACTCTTGCTTTGTCGATATGATATCGACCTGCTTAAAAAGAAATTGGTAATGAGATTTCAAACTTACCACGGAATTTGGTTTCTCTCCAGCTTCAAGAATATATCAAAGCCACTTTATATGTCGGTCGTCGTAGTCGCGAGTCGCAAGCTGTACTCCAGATTCTTGGGTTATTCTGGTTGAGAAAACAACAATTGAAGATCGAAGAAGAAGGAATGACAAGAGTTGTTAAAACCAAGAAGATAGTAAACGGCCTTTGAGAACCTTGCCAGGCAAACAAGATGGGGTTTTCTTAAGAATTTATCATATCCTCATCGTTGCCTAACGCGGAAGGGACGTGATGAATAGGCAAAAGTTCGATTTCAGAAATTCGATAACATTTGTTGAATGATAAATATCCCCTTCATTCAGGAGACGATGAATTAAAGTCTGTCGTCTGAAAGACTGGTTGAAATAAGATGAGATTGGAAGGGAAGGAATCACTGATTGTTGGTGAAATTATCGAAGTCTTCTATTATAACCTTATTAATGAAAAGAAAAAAAAAAGGATGTGGAAAGTGCGTTCTTAAGATATGGCTGCAATATATGAAATTGATAGTAAATTTACAAATACATAATACATATCTGGTACCTGGTACCTACCTACCCATTCACTTCACTTCACTTCACTTACCACGTAGATCAGGTTAACTAATCAAGGTACTGGTCATGGCTATCGTCTGGAACTTTACAATATTCGAATGAAACTTGGAGCATGTTTTAAGGAATATGGACAGATAGTCCTCAGATGGATATACTTTTTAACAGCATTACCACTTCTACTACTAGGTAATGCAATCATGCCCTTGGCACTTAATAAGAGTTCATCGTTTGGTCTAACGGTTTAAATTATATTATTGTACTTTGTCGTCTGTCATCCTATTAGCAAACTATAGCACTGCGTGCGGGTATACTTCATTTCCCTTACTTTCCCCATTCCATCCCTCGATATCGAACTCAAATCTCATATCAGATTGACCTCTTTCTATGGGATTGCCGTCTTCATCAAATAATGAACGCTCTATAAATGTGACATGTCCTTGCCAATCTACGAGAATGATGGTTTGTCTTTGGGTACCGTAAACGCCGGATGTAACATTATTGTTCTCGGGCGTTGGCCTTTGCTCCTCGATGACTTCGACTGCGGATTCTTCATTGGATGACGATACCTTCCCGACAGCGGCTGCAATTTCGTCTGCTTTTGGAACTTCTGAAGGTGAGGCTGCATGACCGATTGTAGGTATGAAAATTGACTTGCGAAGCTGATAGATATACTCCTCAAAGTCCTGACTGTCATCTTTCTTTGGGAGCGTATCAATATCCAGGACAGCGAACAACTTCTTGATGAGCTCCTTTTCTCCAAAGCCATTGAGTACCACTTCTTCTACAACCTCCAGGACCTTTTCCTTGCCAGACTTGATCTTGGGCCAAGTTATTGGATCATCGTAGGACGTATTACTTAAGCCGTAAACCTCTCCTCTGCTGGCAGCTACCCATGGTACTTCATCTGGGGTTCCACTACGATTTGAGATGATTGCTAGAGGTTCCATTTGATCGTCAGAGGATCTTTCTTTTCGCAATTTCCCGCAGACCAAGGAGAACCCGCCGACACCTTTCACTCCATCCCCATCCAACAGCCTATGTACAAATTGTTTGGTACTCTCGTCGTTTTCTGCCGTCAACCAAGCCGTGACCATACCGCCTCGACTCCTCGTTCCTTGTACAGGATGATCTTTGTCGTGGGTATTTGTTTCGCGATAATTTGTAAGAACTGCAAAGTTGCCAGTTTTCGTAATGCCTAGCCATGTTCCTTGCTCGGCACGTTGAAGATCTCGACTTGAGAGGATTTCTTGATGATTAGAAGACCACCAGTGTGGTTTGCTGGTCGGCCGAAGGATGAATTCATCTCGATTATCGAGAATGATGAGTGCGTAAGACGGATGTGCTGTAGTTGCTAAGACGATACACATACTGGCGGTTATTATAGGTATGGATTGCAGACAAGGTAGGTAGATAGGTGGGTTGAGTCAAGTTGAAGAATGTCGAATGTCAAATGTCGAATGTCAAATGTCAAATGTGGCAGCTGTCAAAGTTTATTAGTGGAAGAAAGAAATGTAACCTACCAGAAGGTACGACCCTTTTATACGAATTCTCTGAGATTTTTGTTGAGAGGAAGAAATTAGGAAACTCAGCCCATATTCCTCTGGGAGAATATATCAGCCCATCAAAGCTCATTGGAAATCAGACTCTGGACTCGTTTATACTCATCCATCCATATACTTTTCTGGGCGCATTGAACGGCAGGTTCATTACCCCATGATCTTCCCTGTACTAGGTCATAGCACCAGGTGCACCAGTGTAACCCATTCCATCCTTCCATCCTTCCATCCTTCTATTCACTGCTTGAGACTCCGCACTGCGTCGTAATGAAGTGAACTCATAAGGCTGTGGGTTGTGTTTGTATACCTAGGTAGGTACCGGCACGTACCTCGGTAGGTATGGAGTAGGTAGGTAGGTAGGTACCTAGCCCTATTTGATTGCCATCATTGCCATTTATCATTGGTAGATACAAGATTTCACTAAATTCATCAAACTTCACAGCTTGAATACAAAAGGAAAACTACGCCGAATTGAATTTCCAATACGATAGCAACCATCCCGCTGGCAAATGATTATCCAGTGTTCCTGACCTGGGTATGCAATGTCTCAGAGTCTCAAATATAGACAGCTAATACTCCCGTATCGATAAGGAAAACAAGTCTAAAAGCTCCAAAAGGTCAAAGAAATCCTTGAAGCTAGGCTAAAGAGGCTACCTAGCTCAGCTTGGATATACCATCGTAGGTACTAGGTAGGTACTTGACCTCGTAACCTTATTATTAGGTGATCAACGTCACTCACCACCGCCATCACCACCATCATCATCATCATCAATACATCTCCATCTCCATCTCCATCTCCATTCCTTCCTTTCACTTCAACAACCTACACTTTCATCGTCTCTACTCCATTACTTGCCCCTTTTATTATCAAAATCAATAAATCGTGTAGTACCTAGTATCTCTAGGCAACTCTGTTGACTTTACCAGACAATCAGATTGAATTCCAGACCGATCATGTTCGATACATTCGCAAGACTCTTATCGTAAGTAATACCCCGCCTTTACACATGATTCTCAGACTACCCAGAATACCCAAGTAAAACTACCAATCTTACATTAACTATATACTAATGAAGACTTCAGTTCTGTTCCTACATTTCTTTTTCCAGTGTTCGCATCTTACAAAGCTCTTAAGACCTCAGATCCGGCATTATTAACACCATGGCTTATGTATTGGGTGGTACTTGCGATCGCTTTGTTCGCTGAATCTTGGGTTGGATTTATACTAGTTTGGTTCGCAGCCATCTTCTTCTCGAAATCGCGGTCACAAAAAAGACCCCTCTAACAATAAATACTAATTAGGATACCTTTCTATTCGTGGTTTCGACTCGGTTTCCTTCTCTACCTTATCCTCCCTCAAACTCAAGGCGCAAGAGTCCTCTACCAAACACATGTTCACCCATGGCTTCACAATAATGAGCTCGCCATCGATGATTTCATAGCTTCTGCTCATGAACGTGCGAAAGCCGCTGGTATGACATATCTCAAACAAGCTATAGAATTGATTAGGGAGCAGGTCTTTGGTCTTCCACCCAAGGAACCCACACCACCATCAACTCCTTCAACCTATTCATATACACAAAGTCTCATGGCACGCTTCAATCTACCATCTGCAAGACCTTCATTCCCATCAAATCCTGTCGGAGGTGCTGCTAGCAGTGCGACAGACTTTTATTCGCTCCTTGCTTCGGCAGTTTCCGCTGCTACTTCCTCCAACGCTGCTACCGGTCGATCGGATACTCGAGATCTTTCGAATAGTGGGATGTTGATACCTCCTCATGTATCTGGGAGTGAACGTATGACTTTCATCCAGGCACAGCGCGAACGCCTCTCAATCCTTCTTTCAGCTTTGGACAAGGAGGCACAAACACTACAGAATGAAAAACGTGTGCCTAGAAATATTTCCAGTATGTCATTTGATGGCACTAGCAGCGAAGATGATAACCTCGATCGACCAAAGAGCTCCATGAGCGGAATGACCTCAAGAAAGAGTGAGCCTGATTTTGAAAAAATCGATGCAGATAGTGGGACGGAAGAAGTCGGCAAAGCCAGAAAAATGATGGAGAGGACGACATCCAGTGGGAATTGGATGCCATGGGCGTGGGGATCAAAACCAGCAGACCCAACTAACAACAATTCCGAGGATAAAGGGAAAAGCTCAAGTATTGATGCATAGCTAGTCAGTGACTCGGTATTCGGTGTTTTTAAACATAAATTTGAAGGGTTGTTTAAATAGGTTTGAAGCATTGGGATAGACGCATATTCCATGGATTTGGTTGCGACAATAGGAGAATAGGAGCAGTGGGTATTGGTTTCCCAGATTGGTGCTGATATGAATAAAGGGGTATGGTACAGATTGGCAATCGCAAGCTTTTTGATACTTTTATAAATCCAAGTTGATGAGAGTTATTCCTCGCAACAAGCAAATCTTTATGATCAATGAAGACTACTCTGAGGCTTTTCCCCTTGGAGATTATCTTTGTGGGTCCTGATGCAACATTTTGTTTGGGTGAATCACTGTTCAAGATGGAATATACGTATAAAATCTTTGTTCCTTATTCGAAGCTATCAAGGCATCTGCTCATACCGAGCTTGCGTATATAGAATTGCAACCCGAGCGATGAAGTAGATTTTTCATGCTAGACCGCACTCCTCTTGCCTTCTTCTCGTAAGATTGTCCAAAAGATACATACTCCGTTCTTCGAACATTATTTCCTTAGTATTGAAGCTCTAGGCGACCTAGCAAGGATTTGTAATTACATCTCTGGATGTATTGTAAAAGGGGAAAGGCTCGCCTATCTGACTTTCCACAGAAATCGCATTGTCTTATTACTGCTACTGGGGCAAGGACTGCTCTGGCATATATTGAGAGGGCGAAGCGAGCTGTTGAATTATTACGAGTAATGATCATGGGAATTTAGATTCACGTCTCAGCAAGAGAATGTTGAAGATTTGATATTGACACATTGACAAAGAGTCATGTTGAGATCTTGGGTACACATTATCAAAGGATCATACAGATACATATCCCATCTCATACACCCCAAATCACAAAACTCGATCCGACTCCTCCTGCGCATCTCGCGCTAACCTCGACCTCGCCAATCGCTCCTCCGTAATAACCATCGCATCTGGAAACCACTCTGGAACAGCCACATCCACATCCGCACTCTCCCCCGCCTCCCCCACACGAATCATGTGCGCGAGCGCCTTCCCCGATAACCACGCGTGAACCATTCCCTCGCCGGAAAAGGCCGCGGCCGCCCACTCGGCGCCGTGCGCGGGTGTGGGGTTGCGCTCCGTGAGAGATGCGGGGAGCTTGCCGACCCATGGGAGCCCATCGGTGCTGAATCCCATATTGCCTGTCCACATTGCGGAGACGGCGGGGCCGTTCACTGCGCCCCAGTTTTCTGGTGCGAAGACGGCGCCGAGGACGCCGCGGAGATGGATGTTCGCGTACATGTTTAGTTCTGCGTCGTTACTCACACCCGTTTCGTGGATGCCGCCGCCCTGCGTCTGGGCATATCCGCCACCCATCATCATTTCACCATTCGAAGCCGCGGTGACGGGAAGTTGGGTGAGATAGTCGAAGCCGTGATCGTAGTTGAAGATCCAGGAGTGGTCGCTTTGGGGTTTGAATTTGTCGCCGGGGGGTTGGGCGGACATCTGACCGACGATGGGGAAGATGCAGCCTTTGATGCTCGGGACCAGATGGCCAATGTGGGCATTGGTGCAGTGGATCACGTGTTTGGTTTTGATCGTTCCTCGCGGTGTTATGACTTCGTAGTATTCGTTGCCTCCGCGGATCTCAGATACGCTGGTGTTTGTCTCGAGGAGGAAGTCTGATGTGAATTGTTTTCGTAGATGAGCGAGAAGTCCAGTGACGAATTTGTAGGGCCACACGGCGCCCGCAATACCGGTTACTGCACCAGCAGCATTTGGAATTCCGAACTCCTTTATAGAGGTTAGCAAAAATATTCACATGAATCGAGCGTTGCGAGGTTGTGAAGTAGAAAATTTGCAGTGATATATATACCTTTGCTAGTTCATCGGTTTCAATAAACCCCCATCCTTTAGAATCCTCTGGCATCTCGGCCATGAAAAGCTCTATATCTTTCCGGATATCTTCCCAAGCTTCTTGGTGAAAATATACACTCAGGAAACGCACTTTGCGAACTTGTGTCTCTTCAGTCAACCCCAAATTTTCCGCACTTTTGATCAGCGCTTCAAGGTGGGAAATACGCAGTTTGTGGATTTTGATGGCTTCCTCTTTACCCAAACGTTCTTTCAGCATGGCATACTCCTCACCAGTTTCCAAAATATGCCCACCATTTCTCCCCGTGGCACCACTGCAGCTATCTCGAGCTTCTAGCATGATCACTTTTGCATGCGACGAAGATTGAACTTCTGATGGACTGGCCGTTGCGAGATCTTCCAACAAGGCTTGTGCGACAGAGGCTCCAGTAATTCCAGAACCAATAATGGCATAATCGGCAAATTTTGGTAGCTGCTCGGATTGTACAGTTGCAACATCGGGATGCGATTCTTTCATCCAAAATGATTTTGTTGAATGGATTGCATCCGGAATTCCGGGATCTGCAAATGCTCGGTCAAGAGCTTCTTGTCTTACTGTAAGTGGTATGTATGAGCTACCAAGCTGATGGACAATGAACGACATGGCTCTATAAGAATGATTTGTAGAATTTAAATTCAAGAAGTCTTAAATGCTAAAGTCTTTGTGGTGTTTGCTGCCAGATTCGTAGGTGTGATAATTCTTCTCAATAAACTTGGAGATAAGTCAGAATTAGTACGATGGAGGTGTATCTTTTGAGCGTTCTCTAGGTCATGAACGTTTCGATATTCATCAAGTAGGTGTGAAAAGCTTCAGCTGTACGAATGCATATATACCTGCGACCCCACTATTGTATGCTATACCGATTCGGAAGGTGTATGCGATAGATCAATTTATCCACTGATAAACATCCGGGCTTCTCACACGTAGAATCATTGGAATCCGTTGTGTGGATAAGAATGAATGATAACTTTGCGTGGGTGCATGGTAAAATCTCTTCTGGTGTAATCGAATAGTCCAGTATGTTGTTACTATACTACGCTCCTAAAAGCTTGAAGAAAGGTACTCTTAATCGCACATTCTGAATATTCCCATTGAAAGGTTTACAATAGAAAAACAAAGGTGATTCATCCACAAGTCGGTCCAATACGCGACTGTAAATTTTGCGAGCTCCGTATCATAACGAAATCAATATTCAATGGCGTTTATATCTGCGGTGATTTCTTTTTCCCAACATCAATACGGATCAAGGCACATACGAAGAGAGCAGTCAGAAATATACGAAAAGCACTCATCCTAGATTGACATATAAGAGGCATTGTATACGACTTTAATTTAGCTGATGGTGTGTATAATGTGCATCTCGCCAGTTCACCGTGGACGCTGAATAGGTTGCTATTGGCATTGGAGCTCATATTATCACGCGAATCAACAGTAATCCATCGTGTGCCTCGTATTATCAAAGTCTCATAGCCAGAATGTATGCTCTGTAGAGTGCCTCTAACCATGAGCCGACAAAGACTAGCCACTTGGATGTGAGCAACAAGCAGGACTACCATGCAAGAAAACTTTTCTCGTAATCAGAAGAAGAATCAGGATGATTTTTGGTCTAGCCGCAAATTCAAATGAGCTGAACAGGGCATAAAATTGGCACGCCGAAAGATCGATAGGCCTTTACTTTGACCACTTGATCGAGTGTAGGTCTGATTATAACATGCAATTGATGTTGTTCTGAACGCCTTTGCCAATTCAAGACTAAGAAACTACGTCGGAGGATAGAAACCTCGACACGAAGACGAGAAAGGTATGCAGTTCTCTTTTCATATCGACACGAAGCTACTTGGCGCCATGTTGTGATACATATCTCCCCTTCCCCAATCATCCAACTTTCTTGCAGTATGATGATTTTTACCTCGATACCTTAAGTACGGTCAATTGAATGGATTCGGATAGCCAGCAAGTCCTAGAATAGGAGGAAACTCAATTCATAAATCTACAAACGATATGAAAAAGAATGAGGCCGAGGGGACAGTGGTAACGTGACTATTAAATTAGAAAAAGAAAATGGAAGTGTTTATTTAACCTGGAAGTGGTATTAAATGTTCCGTAATTCTTCAAAGACTTGCTAATCTTTCACCGCCTTTTTTTGGCATGGCGGGGGCGGGGTCTTTCCGTAAAAATTTATTATCAGAACAAAACCTTGTTGGCGCTTTAACCATTTACCCACGTTTATATTCACCCTCTCGCCCTTGCCCTTCAGTGTAAACATACTATTCAATAATCCGATTACATGAGATTGCGTACTAGAATTCGTTTCTTCTTCTATGTATAGAAACTATTAAACTGCATACAAATAAACAAAGCAATCGTTTATCTTATTTTCACTTCGCTCTGTCCGATTCCGATTCCAATTCCAACCTTGGAATCCCATTATACATTCAAATCTCTCATCCTCACCGAAAACCAACAAGCACCGCACAGTTCAAAGATGGCTGGTTTAGAGGCCATTAAATATGGCAGAGGAAGACTAGAAGTTTTAGATCAGTTGAGACTTCCGCATGAGTTTGTTTATGATAATGTCTCCACTTGTGAAGAGGCATTTGATTCTATCAAGTCGATGCGCGTGAGAGGTATCTACTGCTCTGCTGTTGGTAAAAATAATGAGCTTTAATGGCTAAGTGTTTTATCAGGAGCCCCAGCAATCGCGATTGTGGCAGCTCTTGCGCTGGCCGTAGAGCTTCATCACAAGAAAGATGGTTGGTACTTCACATAGACTAATTCAATTTCATGTGATAACTGGCTAACATGGATTGTCTCAGATTCCAAGACGAAACAAGAAACTGTCCAATACATCAATAAACGTCTCGATTATCTCTTGGGTAGCAGACCAACCGCCGTCGACCTATCAAACGCTATCAAACTTCTTAAACGGGTCTCTCAAAATGCGGCACAAACTACAAATGCAACTGATGACAACGTTGCCTGTGCGGATGTTCGAAACGGATATATTGTTGCAGCAGAAAAGATCTTAGAAGACGATCTTACTACGAACTTAGCAATTGGCAGATATGGAGCGGAATATTTAAGACGACAACAGATGCCAATTGGAGAAGAAGATAACGACGATCCATCCAAATTCTTTACAACAAGTCCGCCATGCACACAAGGGGCAATGGACAAGACTTATAGAAAGCTGAGTGTTCTCACGCACTGCAATACTGGGTATGTCTACTACTTGTATTTTTCTGCTTGTCGAATAAGGCAAAAGTACTTACAATCTCTTTAGCTCTCTAGCTACTTCAGGTCATGGCACCGCCTTGGGTATAATCCGCAGTCTGCACAAAATGAATTATCTAGACCACGCTTATTGTACTGAAACTCGTCCTTATAACCAAGGTTCCAGGCTTACTGCCTTTGAGCTTGTGTACGAAAATATTCCCTCAACACTCATCACAGATTCTATGGCTGGTGCTCTATTCGCCCGGATGAAAGACATCAAAAATATATCTGCCGTCATTGTAGGCGCAGATCGCGTAGCCCGTAACGGTGACACAGCCAATAAGATCGGAACCTATTCTCTCGCAGTTCTTGCAAAAGCTCATAACATCAAATTTATAGTTGCTGCACCCACGACAAGTATAGATCTCGAGACAGTTTCAGGAGCAGACATAAAAATTGAAGATCGCGCTCCAACAGAGCTTACTCAAATAAGTGGAGCCATGGTAGGGAAAGATGGGCATGTGGATGTCAATTCAACGGCCAGGGTGGCCATTGCCCACCAAGGAATCAATGTTTGGAACCCAAGTTTTGATGTTACGCCAAGCATGTATATTGATGCGGTCATTACGGAGAAGGGGGAAGTGGTTAGAAGTGCACAGGGCACATTTGATTTCAAGGCAATCATGCCAGAGAGGTGGGCACAGCAAGTTGAGGGGAAAGAGCCAAGTGTTGAAACGAATGGAAAGGCACAGGTTGATGATGGAGCACTTTTCCAAATGGAACACATTTGAAAAGTCAAAAAAAAATTACATGTCGGTTCGAGACACCAAAGTATTGCCTCACTTCTGTTGTTTTAGATTATTTAACGTATATTACCGTATCACTTTTTTAGACTTATTTGGAACTTCGCTTAAAAGACTATTCGCTCTCGCGTAATTTCCTACTCCTATTTTTTTTACTCATGCTCATCTTGTTGCTAGACACAAATGAACTTCGCATATGTTAATGATTCATTGCAAGCGCTTTTATGAAGAGTAGACTTCTCTATTGTGAGATGATTTGGGGACATTTGTATACAATCTCTCGTCAATCTTTTGTACCTATCCAGATGATTAATCGGTTTCTATTGATTCTATTTGTTCTATATTCCAATCCTTTTTTCTTCTTCTTCTTGAGAATTACAACCCGAATTCTCATCTCGTCATCATTATCATTGTTCTGAATGCGTGCTCAGTACTATAGCATGCATTATCCTTTCCTTCATCGTAATCGTAATCACAGTCGTGAAGAATTGTATTTGAGATTTTGAATTTCTATTGAGTGTTGTTGTTTGTGACTTTTTGATTGGTTGTGTTTTTTTTTTTTTATTTATGCTTGGTATTGGTGTCGGTATTAGTATTGATTGAGGTGTCTGTATAGGTGGGTGGGTGAGAGGTAGTTTCATTCATGCATGTGCTAACTATGTATGTGGATTCTGGAAAGTATCTGTTGATGTTCATGTTGATGTTTATTAGTTACAAGATCAATATATATATAGTATAGATTCTCTTTTCTCTTCTCTTGAGATGATATAATAGTTTTAGACCTAGTCTTAGCACAATGGTATATTACAGTATTATAGTATTATAGTAATGTTAATGTTATGATGAAAATACAGAGAGGGGGGATGTTTCATCAGTAAATACTGACTACTAATTACCATCTTGATAAGTTGTATCGAGCTATGTAATACGTATACAGTTATGAGAATAAAAGAACATAAGAACACACATACACATACATATATATCTAGGTATGTAATACTTAATACGTATCTGAATACCTATGTAGATACTTGATAATAATCTGAAGTCTCAAAGAGCATGTCATTATTAGGTATATACAAACATTTATTTCTCTAATTTCCTTTCTTTCCTTTCTTTCATTCTATATCAATCAATATAATACATATACAAACACATACCTAGATAATGTTATACCTAATATATACCCAACATCCACCCAATATACACTCAATACATTTTCTCCTTTAATTCTTTCTTTAATCCTTCACTCCTTTCCTCCTTTGCTCCCTTCATCCCTCTAAACCACACAATATGTACCTCCTCCTCCTCCTTCCCCCACTCCTCCTTCTCCCCCTCCTCGTCTGATTCTAATAAAAAGAAAGAGCATCGTAGAGATCTAGTGATTACTACTACACTATTAGTTCTACTCCTATTAACACTTCTATTACTACTTTTTTTTATTAAAATAGATTCGGTTTGAATAAATATAATAAATATAATAAATATAATAAATATAATAAATATAATAAATATAATAAATATAATAAATATAATAAATATAATAAATATAATAAATATAATAAATATAATAAATATAATATATATAATATTATACCTATTTATACACATACACATACATACCTATTGAGTTTATATATGGATACATACTATCCTAATGCAATGCAATGCAATGCAATGCAATCCACTCGACCCAAACCCCAAACCCCCAACCCAGTTCCACTCTCCCCCTCTCTCCCTCCATCTCCCTCCATCCCCCCCCTCCTCTGCTCTCCTCCATCTCCCCTTCCGAAACCCAGCCATCAAGCCCAAGCCCAAACCCAAACCCAAACCCAAACTCACCTCCTCGCCCAAAACCCACTCACTCACTCACTCTACCAAGCTTCAAGCTTCAGAGATCCAAACCCTACAGTCATAATCCCAAGCCCCAGTCTCCAGTCGCCAAACTCCCCACTCTCCCCACTCCGCTCTCCAAACTCCCTACATACATCCCATCTTCTCGACAGTTTGATACCTATCCAAGCACGAGGGTTTGATCACAGACAAAACAACCGATCGACCAACAGAGAGACCACAGTGAAAAACGAATCTTTTACCATTTCATCTTGAATATAAAGGTCAATAGTAAACCAACATCATTCACCACATTCAACATCTATTCCGATCAAAGTATAGGTAATAATAATTGATTTGAATATACACATCTCTGTATATTACATATAAATCAACCTCAAAATTTCTACCTACTTACTAAAAGATAATTCATTCATCTCAAACTTTCATACCCCTTTTTGATATACTCTCTCAATAAGCAAGCTTGAAAAAAATAAAATAAAATATAACATTGAATATCATAAGGGTATTGAATTCCAAAAAAAAAAACCAAAAAAAACCACACACGGTATAATAAAACAATATGCATAGTATTGCAGAAGATCTCCCGCATCTAATGTAATGATCATTGAGAAACGGCTTCGCTTCCGATCTCTCTCTCTCTCAAAACTTGGCCCTAAAGTATCCTCTTCCTTCAGTCCATCGCTCCAATGTCCTATGTACATCGATCAGCACCTAGATATAGAATATTTTCGCTTACAACCAAAGAGTAAAAATATACATCCAAAACCCGACAATCATCTCCTCGTTACTAAATGCCCTGAAAGTTCTTTTCGGGAATCCATCCATATTCGACCATCAATCCAGTTTACCTTTAAAATCATATTTGAAATCATACAATACAGTCTCATGTCTAGTAACAAGGACAGGTATGTCATGAAAGACCTTTTGAGAAACACACATTTTTGTGTATCCTCCATGTCCCAACGACTCCAGGCTCCATTCAAACCCAGATCCCGTACGCCAAAAAAGACCCCCGAGAAAAATTTCATGCAAACATATTCGTTCTCAATCTTCCATATCTACCCACAGCCTCAAGCCATCTGAGAGATTTGAAAATCTATCAACGATCAGAGTTGCCTCTCACGGCTGTTACGATTCACTATTTCTCCTGCTCTCAATAAAGCGTTGATAGGATCAAGGTCGACCTCTTCCCCGGCCATACCGTAATCATTGATTGGCTGAGGAAGCGGATTATCAATTGACCACTTTTCGGGTCTCGATACGTCAGATCGACCCATAGCGTTCGAGATACTTTGGGGAATTTCACTATATCTTCGCATAGGCGGCATTGTGGTAGGAAAATCCTGCGGTTGATTGACTACTAAATTTGATTAGCCACCAGTAACTACGAGATCAATGAAGCAAGACGAGAAAAAAAAATAGATTGCCACGAACCTTTCGGTGATTGCTGACTACCAAGTAACGAGCTTTGGGTTGATAGAGTTGGAGGCGCCGATAAAAATGGCAAATGTCCTTCGTAGTTTCCGGATCTCGAAGGATATAATGTTGGAATCGGAAGAGCCCGATTGAAATCTGGTTCTATAGGTGTTCGAGGTCCACCGTACATGGAAGAATTACTGTTGGTGGAACTAGTAGATTGTACCGTTGATTCCGAAGTTAGTGATGGTGGCGTAGGATTCAGATTACTTTGAAGATTGCGGCGATGCTGTTTTGAATCGTTCATAATCGAATGCGGATCTTGTAGGGCAGCAGTGATAGGACTTGATTGACTGAAGCGCCTTTCGCCAGTGGCTGCGTGTGATGTTTGTTTTCCATTGGTCCCTTCATCGCGATGATCTTCACGCCAATGGTGCGCCCCTGACCCCAGCATAGACTCACGATAACCAGGAAGAACTGTTGGCATCTCAATTGGTGATCCTGGACCCATCCTTCCCTGTAGCCCCAACACTTTCGGATTATTTTGCACGGCTGACAAGTTGGATACTGGCGTCAACGCAGCGGAGGAGGGTGAGGTTGATGGACGCCACTGAGACATCGAAGACGCAGAGGAATCTACACGCATACGACCGATAGAAGAATCCATACCAGTTTGACTACCGCCACTGCTTGCTGTTCCGCTGCTTGCTGTACTCGCGTGGGCTTCGAGTTTGGGTCTTTTCGAAACATCCATCTCAGTCGCTAATTGTTGGTTTTGCTTTTGTTTAAAGTCGGCGAGGTATTGCGAATAGTCTTTGAAACTTTGCGTCTTCTTGTATTCGGCCAATTCATTATTGTAACGCTCCTTTGCGGTGTAGGCCTGGTGCTCATATGGTTCCTTCTCGCTTGGCGATAAATTCTGCCAATTTTCGCCGACCAACTTGGCGATCTCGGTGAACGACAAGGCACGTCCTTTCAAATCTTCGCGCATTTTGTTTGAGAAGATGACGTAAGCCGAAGGAGGCCGCTCTGGTGCACTCTCGTCTGGTTTGGGATGTCTCCTATACTTTCTCTTTGCTCCATGTGGCCCACTACTCCCCTCCTTGGCGTCTCTCCCTGCTGGTTTCGGTTCGTCTCCATGGTTATCGGGTGTTGTGCTAGTCGGAGATGCAAGAGCCCTATCCGATGATAGACCCCTTGAATTAGCGATCTTCCTCTGGAGTCTCCGACGATGGCCGAGTTTCACGCCGAGAGCATCGAAGTCGGATTCCGTGATGTCGAGTATTGTATCCCATGTATCAAACCCCTGCTCGACAAAGTTGAGGAGGTAATGAGAGATGCCCAACTCCGCAAAGATGTCCGACAACTCAGTCGTCATACAGCAGGCTGCCTCTGGATCTTTGTGTCCAGAAATGTTGGTGGGAGTTTTTTTTCCAATTTCCTACGATAAGATGATGCCCTTTCCACCTATGACGAAGAATTATTTTTGTGTTTCGAATTGCGGATTTTCGTATGAATTTCTAGCTTGGAGGCTGTGTTGTATATTGGATCTCTCAGAAGGTTGCTGAGATGTAATCTCTCTTTGTAATGCCAATATCTGGTTCCTTCATAAAGCGATTGAGACAAGAGAACGTGGTCCAAGGAGTAAGGATCAGATGCAATATTGACCATGAAGGTTTGTCCACTCTCCCGTCCTTATCATGTAGTTTCAGTGTTCAAGGGTTGATTGACTATTGAGATACGAAGACAAATGTGAATGTGACTCGAAGTGTGGTGATTTATGAAGATGGTATTTCAAAGTGTTACTTTGCGGAATATGGTTGAATGACAAGAGCTTGGTGAAAGCGGGATCAGATGAAAAGATTGATCTCGATCAAGATACTTGGACTGCTGCTCTTCCTGCAATGCGTTACTTCACATCAGTATTAGCCAGAAATTCATGCGGGGCCTAAAGCATAGTATTCTCATAAATATTCCTAGGTGCCACGCGAGATCGACGGTGGCTTGTAGATGTGACTGGTGGAGGGGCAAGCCTAGGGCAGGCAAATGTTTGAGAAGTATGGAAGTATACCTGCTTCGGAGAATTGAAGAATGGCTAGGTAGTTGGACAGTGTCAGAGTACCTCAGCAGTGGGTCGTGAATCTTGAATGATTGTATGAAAGAATTTATTCCCACGGTGGAGTAATGGGAAGATGAGAGCTTGTGGCCGAGAGAAATCGATTTCGGTATAATACTAGGAGTGTATAAAAAGGTGGATAGGACAGGATGATGGATGGGTAAAAAGAAGAACGGGATAGATGCGATCGAGGCGAGAGATGCGATTCATTCGATTCAATCGATTCATGCGTGTATGAGCGAGCGCTAATTGAAGAACAGAAGAGACTTTGAATGGGTATTCGGGTATTGGAAATTGAGTAGTGAAGATGTACGCATGTATGATGGTATGATGGTATGATGGTATGATGGTATTGGAAGGGATTGAATGGCTCTGTGATATGAAATATCAAATAGCGGCGAATGATAGTATCTTGAGAGAGAGAAGTATAAATAAATGATGGATGATAAAAAAGAGAGAGGGGGGGGGGGGAATAATGAATCAAGAATTACCCAAGAAGGTATATAAAATATATAAAAGAAGATTCAAGGAAGAAGAAGGTTTGAGAAGAGTACTATAAACAAACAAAATTACTAAATAAATGAAAGAAATAAAATAGAATAGAATAAAAATAGGCGTCTTCGTTGCTTATGCCTGAATGGTTTTTGGGGGGTGTTGTTTTTCTTGTTTTTTTTCTCGTTTTTTTTTTCTCCTTTACTTTCCTTCCCTTTCTTGCTGGTAGGGGAGGAGGGGGAGAGAGAGAGAGAGAGAGAGAGAGAGAGAGATCTCGAGATCTGAGTATAAATTTCTATATGATGAGTGGATGAAAGTAAGTCGAATGAGTGGGTTTGACAATAGAAACTAGGCGTGGAAGAGAGGACTGAGAGGACTGAGGACTAAGGTAAGGAAGGTAACAGGACCAAGGACCAAGGACCAAGAACCAAGAACCAAATATAATAAAATTGATAATCAATAAAATATAAAATCGGAGCTTATTTTACGATACTAGGTACCTGGGAGGCGAAGGTACGAGAGACCAGTTCTGTACGGGTATCAGAGGTGGAAAGGATGTGAGGCGAATGAGGGAGGCATGAGGTGAAAAATAATGAAGAAAGGAAGATAATTTTCCAAACAAACTGCACCCGTGAACGGTTGTCATCGAGATTCACCTGGCTGACTCATCATACTTTGACGATACAGGGACGGGGAATTGGGGCAAATGGCATTGGGAAAAGAAGCAAGAGAAGGCAGAGAAGCACAGTTCACCGATGCCACAATTGTTTTCTCGATTCGCATTCCGAGAATCATCAAACGCTAAGGGAAATGGGATCCCGTTTGAAAAAAAAAAAATGGCTTGATTTTTTCTTTTCTTTTCTTTTCCTGCCTTTCAAGGATTGTGAGAGATCTGGGGCTTGGCCTATTAGGGTAAAGTATTACTGACTGGGTAATAATACGTGAACACCTACTTAGGTGGGTGGGGAGGTAGGTGAGTAGGTCGGTATTCTGGACACGAGATGTCTTGATGAAGAAGTATTTTATTACCTACCTAGTATTGTAAATATATATATATATAAACTGAATACTAGTGCCATACTTAGGTAGGTGGGTTGATAAATAGATAGGTAGATATCTAGGTAGATGTGTAGATACATGAATGAATACACAGATACGTACTACCCAGTAAGAAGCATCACCTGCATGCATCTTACCAAATATCGTAATTCATGAGGATACGACTAGGCAGGTAGCTATATTAGATATTAGATATTAGATATTAAATATTAGATATTAGATATTAGAAATTTGAACATCGGACCATCTCCGAAGCTTCATTCCACACGAGAGAGTTGGCGATACTTGTGAAATACTACGTACCGGTACCTCCAGGGCTGTGTACCTATGAGCCTATCTGGTATCTACCTCCCTAGTACTACCTATACTCCGAGAGACTTCCCATTTCCCCAGTCAGGTTATTATTAGCACTCGAGAACTTACAGAGTATATACCATACACCTTACAGCTTTTTCCACACGCTCAGAACTCCTCCTCAATGTGGTTTAGAGGAGTAGAGTACACGAGTGGTAGGCATCGCATCTAGATTCTAGAGACAGTAATTCTAGAGCTTTCAATCTTTTCTTCTTTCCATCTTTCCATCATTCCATCTTTCCTCCTCCCACTCTCAACCTCAATCTCAATCTCACTCTACCATCAATTCCCCGATGTCAAGGTTCTATGGTAACATGGCAATTGTAAAACGACCATGTGGCAATTACTCTTCGTCAACCCAGAGATTCAACGTCGATGTGAAAAAGTCATCGAGGATGGCTGGATAGGTGGAACGATGGATGGATGGATGTGTAAGATTGGGACTCATTCATATTACTTGACCCCCCCCCTACCTCTATATGACGCACCTAGGTCGATGATATAAAAGGTATCAGGATTGGAGCGGAGGAGGGTAGAATGCCGATATTTCGTGGCCGTGTGAATACCGGTAGTTGGGTTAGTGTGGATGAAGGAAGGCAATAGTTCATTGTAGACCAATCAATTTACCAATCGTCGATGTCGCTTGCTCACTTGAGTCATTGCGGTCTACCGTATTCTCACGGAACGCTCATGCTTGAATACTTTTCATGTCATCACGACTAGGGATGGATGATATTGAGTGCCTATCAGATTATCTCCCAACATTCCAGATCCAGATAAATTTATAAAATTGATGGTCGAAACTCAACCGAAGCAATTTGCGGATAACTTTAACTTTCCAGTCTCGCAGTGTCCTTAGATATGATCTGAATCCCATCGTGGATTCGATGGATTATTGTATTAATAAGAAGGATACATAGCCCTCATTGATGGAGATCTAGCTAAGCAAACCAATCAGCGTATTCGGAAGAAGTATACGGAAGTCTCAACGCTCATCGCTCATCGCACATCAAAACACCGACATTCGAATTTGATATCCGTTTCTCCAAAATGGCATGGCATGGCATGGCATGGCATGGCATGATTAATCATAAATCGTGATTAACAGATGGATACCTACCTAGATACATCACTGCCCACAGAGCCCATCGCCAATTGCCCAGTGCCCAGTGCCCAGTGCCCACATTCAGATGTGATACCAAACACCCACCCACCTGCAATGCATGGCCGGAGTCCGTACAACTTAATGATTCTTGTTAACTTTGGCTGGACTGGCCCGAGGTAAGATCTCCCGTTCAAAGTTCCACAGGTGCAAGGTATTTGTACGAAAGATGCCGTTTTACTCTTTCATTGTGCACGATTTTTGTCAGTCTTGTTAAATTCGGTTTCCATCCCTCCTCTCATATCTTCGGTTCCATCCTTCCATAGTACGTACCTACCTACATATTACCTACCTATATAATATCTACCTATACAATATCTTTACTACGTACAAAATGCTACCTAGTAGGTATCTCACCCAAGTAACAAGACAAGTAGGCAGTGTCCGATTTAAACTTTCCTTCCCTTTTAACTTCCACGTGTATTCCATACTAATCTTGTCTAGTGAGGTAAAACTGTTTCGCCCCATCAAACCTTTCAAAACCCTCTCAACAGCACGCACGCTGTCAAGAATTATATTTTGATTCCATTACTCGTGACATTATGCAGCGGGTGACACCCAAAACTTAATAAAATCATCGTTTTGCCAGGACGTGCGTAGAGGACTAGAGTCTTGAGGTCACCAGCTGCCAAGTAAGCAAGCAAGGAAGCAAGCCATCGAAAATGCGATCCTTCATATTACCTGTCTATCCAAATATCCATATGCATTTCCATGTTCGTTTTCATTCCCATATCTTTCTTTCTTCTTGGCTTTGCCTCTTTGCCTCTTTACCTAGGTAGGTACACCTCATGATCCGAAAGACTATGAAAGAAACACATTGGGTTACACAAGACCAGAGAAAGATGAAAGTCGGGGTCGGAAAGTTTCTCCTATGAATGAATGAGATCGATGATCTGAGATAGATCCTTATATGGTGGTTACAGTAATTGTCTTCGATCTGTGTCGGCGTCATGGGTTTTATTTCATTGCTTATGTTGTGGGAGTGTACACATGAGTACTAGGTATGTACTATATATGTACTAAATAGGTCACTAGATTATAACAGACAGATCTTGATTGATGATTACAATTACAATTACTATCCATCTACCATCTACCATCTACCATCTACCTCTTACTTGAGCATTGGTAGCAACTTGGAATGCCACTCTTTTGTAGATTACCAAGTCCAAGCAATGAATACGAACGACACCTGGGCAAGAGGCAAGATAGTGTAAATGGGGAGATGGGGGGGACAAAGAATTAAACTTTTGCATCGTACCATAATGCCATGTTTCATGGAACATTGGAACATCACCTTATCTGCCCATCTGCACATTGGCCCATTGACATCAGCAGAAACCCCCATTTACCTACGAAAGATCTCGTATCTTCTCCGTCCATCAAAGTCGATTCGATACCTGCTTTTCCATTTCGGGTCCAAACGAACTTATAACATTCCCAGCTTAAAACGATCCGATTGCCGACGCCAGGTAATTAAGCACTAGGCAAGGAGGCAAGCATTGAGCTGAGCTGACCATCAAACCACCCAACTTATCGATAACGCACCGTGCTTCCGAAACTTTCCAAGTCCTAAGTGTTCCTCAAGAACGATAATTCAATCAAATCACAAACATAATGTCTTCATCGAACAATCACACAAAGGACGTTTCCGAAAATGGTGATGTTGCCACCTCAGAGGCGGATTTAGCCCAGGTATGTTGATCAATATTTCTCTATTTTTCACATGTTCTGCTTCTTGAGTCATTTCACCACCCAAAATGTCTTTGCATACCTGCGTGTCCACATACACCGTACAGATGCTTCCTGTCCGTTCGCAGATTCCCGTGTGAGCCATCATGTACTTCTAGATTTCCTCACCCTTTTCCCATGGGCATTGTCAAAAATGTAATGCGAAAATCCGTTTCGGAGAGAGAATCCCATCCTGAACTTTCACGCCCCCAACAGTCCAGAAATGCACCTGAAGACCCCTGTCTAACCATTCCCCGATTCTAGGCCTTCAAAGAACTTCAACGTGCGTTTTCCACCAATGGTTTCTAGTCCTAGTCTTCCCTTTTCGTTATACCTTCTGCCACGCGACCCTGAATATTAGACATGCGTCTCTTCACCTAGTCTGCATAACTCACACATCGTCGTCTCTATCGAATGACCCCTGACAACGCGATTTCTAGGCGGCGAAAAGACAGCACAGATGCTCGAATCGAACCTCACCAACCTCGAAAAGAAGATAGACGATCTCCTAGCGAGCTTCGAGGCTCAGGGCTCGGCGCAGCCCGAGACGACTCCGCATGCTGCCACTAGCAATCAGGAGAAAACAGCCGAAAGTGGTCACAAGGAGTCTTGAATCCGGGGTCTAGATGCTTCATGTACCGATGTCGCGTGGGCGCTCCTTATGTCTTGCGTCGAGACGTGCATGGGGATGAGGGTCTTGCTGGCTGCAATTCCAAATCCCATCGAGCTTGTCGAGGGCTAGTTCCTGTACCGCCGACAGATCTTTTACATTAGTGCTGCGACTGTGAGATGTGCAGATACCTACCTAGACACAGGGGTCCCCACCCAACAAGTCAATGACCAGATTCTACAAGGGGAATAGATTTGGATTATTTTTTGATGCAAGTCATGATGTTAGCACACAATCTAGAGAACCAAAAGAAATTTCTTAGTATCGAATTGTATCCTCCTGTGCTCTCACTTGTCTGATCTCCACGTTGGAATATTGGAAGACTGCCTTTTCTCGTCTTGGTTACACACAGCTGAGCAGGTAGCAAACTGTTTTCTCCAATGTGTCCAGAATTTCTACAGTGATGCGGATGAGAAGCAGCTGATGCTGATCTGATTCCCACCCACTGACATATATAGTAAATGTTGACATATATAGTAAATGTATACATATCAATCCTTCTCTTGTTTCTTGTGGTTTTGTGTTTTTGTTATATTTGGAGTTTTCTTTTCTTCTGCTTTCTTCTCTTTTGTTCGGTTCTCTTCTCTTCGGCTCATCGTATCTAGATTCTTGCTCGTTTCTATCTACACTCGATTCGTGGGATATGATATGAAAATCTTTGTATAGATTCGCAAAATCCCTATTCTGTAAGTGTGAGAAGTACCTAGGTAGACGCTGTGATTTGTTTCTTCCGGGCGTGTAGGTTACCCAGTAGTTTGCACTATGCTATGCCATGCTATATAATACACAATACAGCACGGGACTGGATTGAGCGTGTATCATTTAGGACTGGTGGATATTGTTCATCTATTCTGTTGCCTGCCAGCTTTTCAGATAACCTTGGGAGGGTTTATATTTCACATGCTGCATGAAAAGAAAGGAGGGGGATTTCTGTTGGATCAACAAGAATGAAATGGCCTGTTTCATTTCGCAGCTTGGTTGCTATTTACGATGTTGGAGGATCTTGACATTGTATAAAACTCCTGATTGCAATTCCTCGCTCTTTTCTTTACACCTCGTTATGCTTCTACTCTAGTCTACCGGCACTGCTTGCGTAGTTTATGCTCCCAATCTCATCTTCAAAAATTTCTGCAATCCTTCCATCACCTCGTCCTCCACGCCACCTTTCTGCCATGTTAGACTAATGACCAATGGCCCCCCTTCGAGATTCACAACATTGCATCCGATGGGGGCACCGAACATCATTCCGCATTGAGAAAATATGAGTCCATCGAGTTTTAAAGAGGGCTCTTCGGGAACTTTATTCAATCTGACCACGCCAAGGTTCGATAGTTCGTAGGTTTCTGACCGCTCTGCGGACATTCCCGCGAGGCAGTAAGCTTCCAAGTCGTCAATCTTCGCGACGTTTCGCAAGTGTGGGACTCCGCCTCCGGCTTCGATTCTTTGCAGATCTGCGGAGATCTCCTGGGTTATCTGGCGTCCCATGCTGGCAATCAATGCTTCTTCTTCTGGCGACTCCTCTCTCGCATGACGGAGTCTGTCGAGGAGTTCGGCGTCCCACGTGGTGGTTACGAAGGCTACGTGGTTTGCGACTTCGCTCAGTGGCAGCTTGCTAAACTTCCGCAGCGAGTATGGCGTGTGAGCCTTCAGACCAAGTTGGTCATTTGTCACGACCGCGCGCGCGAGATAGCTGGTGATCAACCCGTGCAGATAGCCCGTGACGGTGATTTTCAGCCGGCGACTCGTTTCTAATACTCGCTGGACCTTTTCTGGGGGAATGGTCACGAGCAGTACGAGACATTTGTACGATTCGATGGTGGGCATGTTGGGGAAGCTTCCTGCCCATATTTTTACTTCTTTCTTGTCTGTGAGAGGTGCTGTGTTGGGGGTGAAGGACTCGTATCCTGAGGGACTGATCTGCATCGCATCTTCGATGGCTATTGGTTTCCCTATGCTGTCTGGTACTATATAGGGCCACTGCACACTACTTTTCTCAACAGCTTCTACTGTAGCTAGTGATAATTGTTCATGCAAAGTCCGTTGAAAAGACGCACAGCTTAATCCATCGGCAATGGCGTGATTGGCTACAAAAAGTTTGTAGACCTTGCAAGTCTCATCTTCCATCTCGTGAACGAGAACACGAAGTTTCCACGCGGGTTTAGTTTCCTGGTCCTGGAAAAGCTGCTCGTGAGACGCGCCTAGCTCTTCACTAATACGCTTTTCCTGGGATAGAGCATCGCTGCTTGTGTCTAGAGAGGAGATTGATACGAGATCATTCCAGGAGATTTGGGGAAGTCTTTTGAAGCGGGCGGGGAGATTTTGGCTTTTTGAACCGGGGAGGAGACCGTAACAGAGTGAGGGGTGCTCTTCTATGGTTTTGCTGAGAGCATGTTGGAGGCGGGAGGTTAGTTCTTGCCTGGCATTGGGACTGGTAGGTGTGAAAGTGTAGTAGGATGTCACGGCGCAGGAACGGTAGAGACCTAGTTGGTGACGGACGGAGTAGTAGTTGCCGAGGAGTCCTGCGGTTTGGTTAGTTGAGTGGTTAATTTGATTACTTGACTGGATTGGATTGGATTGGATTGCTTTTGGCTGTTTTTTCTGGTGTTTTTCTTTTTATGTGATTTGGTTTATAATATTTTGTCTTGTTTTATGTTTGGGTAACTTGATGTTTGGGGTGGGATGTGTGAAGGTGATGGGGATCTACGAATTGGGGATTTGAAAATGAGATCGCAACGCACCTGCTGGGAAGGTATTGGTTTCCATTGTATTGTGATCTAAACTGGCTATTCGATTCGATGAGGTAGGATGATATGAAGAAACGAATAAGTCTCTCTTGAGCTCATGAGGAAAGTCAAATGTTATATACTCTTCTCAGTGTGTGATCAATAGAGCTCTTGGGAATTGTATGACTTCGATGCTATGCGATTCGTATTCGTGAATCTTACCGCCTTGGGCAGAACAGGGGGTTGTAGTGCATGCAGCTAGATAAGATACGCACCTACTTAGCGAGGTAACCCAGCGATGAATCATCATTTTGGAAATGGGGGAGTGAGTAATTGGAGAGTTTGTTGTCAGGTAATGGGTAATGGAATATCGGTGGGATGTTGAGATATCTATCGATTGATGATAGGGGGGAAGTATAGATAGAACTCTTTATTATGTGGATGTACTAAGACTATGTGATGTGTTTACAGTCTGGATTTGGGGTTCGGGAATAGAATATGCTTCTCGAAAGATTACCTTGTCACCTTGTCACTTCTTCAATTCCCTGTATGCTTATTATTACTAGACTGAATTGTGCAATCGTCTCCACGTTGTAGGGAGCGGGGAACGCGGTTAAATTTGATAGCATCACTACACTGCTATTTAAGCGCTCAGTGGGATAATAAGCGTTGATCTTACAACATTTCAACTTATTATTTCATGATTCTCATAAGATTATACTTCTTAGCTTTCTTATTCATTTTTGTTGGATCATAAGAGAATGTTGGAGTAGGTGTTCTTGTATGCACCGATCTTTCGCTTCGTGGAGAGAGAACTTCGTGAATGGGTTTGGTTATGAGTTTCCTCTTCCACTTTCCATCACGAATGTTTCGAGAAGCCTATCCCACAGCATTCGAATACCACAACCTCACAGAATCAGATGCCATTCGTCTCTTGATTATACATCCAGGTAGCCCTTCTTCTCCCGTCCATTGTAGTCTCATACATACTAGTTTGAGGGCGTGTCGATTAGATATCTATGATGGCTACACAGCACTCTCCTATGTTTGGGGGGATCCAAGGACAAGGAAAATTGTATTTGTTAATGGAAGGCCGTTCTCTGTAACAGCCAATTTAGCAGATGCCCTGATTAATCTCCGCGATGAAAATCGTCCCCTGCGTTTATGGGCAGATGCAATATGTATTGATCAGAGTAATTTGGGCGAGCGTACCCAGCAATTGGGGTTGATGAGAGAGATTTATCGGCTTGGGGGTCGGACGGTCATTTTTCTCGGCGAGTCTTCGGAAGAGGTAGACACGCTGCTGGATCGTATTGGGAGAGAGGGCGCAGATGCTAGGTTGTTGGGAGCGGATGATCTTGCATTTCGGGATGTGCTCTCGCGTCCTTGGCTTACGAGAGTTTGGACGTATCAGGAATTGCTTCTTTCCAGAGAAGTTGTGGTGCAGATTGGGAGGTGCAGAGTTCTGTGGCAGGATCTTTGTAGTGTATTTTTGAATGGGGATGATATGCTTGTTGTTAATTCCGATGTCGAGGCTGGATATGCATCATGTCAACAAGACAAATCGGATACAGCGATGATCGATGCGGGTACGCAAGAGTGTACGGCTCAGATTGATGCATCATCGCGTATGTCTTCTAAGCCGGTGGCTCAAACGGATATATATAATCTGGAAATATTGAGGAGTATGGATGTATCGCGACAGAAGTTTCAAAGTGGTGTCACTGGCGGATCCTCTCTTTTGAGTATTCTCGTATCCCGACAAGGGTCGGGAGTTTCCGATTTCAGAGACATCATCTACGGCTACCTTGCAGTTGCTGAAATTCGCCGTCCATACAGTTTTGGAATATCTTCACATCTAGATCCGAAAGATTATCTGCCGGTAGTGGATTATACCAAGAGCGTGGATGAAGTTTTTGTCGATGCGGCTTTTTATATCGCTATTTCTACCGAGCCACGACGACTGTGGGATATGCTATTTCATTCCGAAACTACGCATCCGCACTTGAAACGAAAAGGCTTACCGAGCTGGGTACCGGATTGGACTCTGGCACGAAATGACCTGGCGAATTCTATCTGTCCGTTTGTGGGAAATCAGATCACGGATATTCCGGCGCCGGGAGAATTGAAGATGAGTTCTAAAGTGGGACCTTGGATCATACCGGTTGATCCTCAGATTCTAACAGTATACTGTGATCTCCAAGCTATTGCCGTTGTGACCAAGACTGCTACACCGGACTTCTCCAGGTCAAAATTTGCCGAGCAGAAAAAAGTTTTGATTGATACTTTCCACGAACTTCTCGACATGTACAAAGACAGGCCCAAGCTTGACGCTCGACAGGTATGGGATCTCCACTTCAATTCCAAGCTTCGGAATCTATACAAAAGTCTCCACGTATCGTGGGAATCCGTAGGAGTACGGGATATTTTCTGGAAGAGCCCCGATCTGCGACACTACAAACTTTTCAGCAATGCCATGCATCAGGTATTCAAATATTGCAGCAAGCTTTCTGGAATCGGCGAGCTTTCTGAAGTCAGGCTATGGCAACTTCTGCATGGTTCCCCTATTGCTATACTTCTCATTGCGGCGATATTTCCGGCCTATGCGGAACTCATTAGTGAAAGAGCTTTTGCGCGATTCTCTAAATCTCCCTGGCTTGTGAATATTGGGATTGTTCCCCGCTCAACAAACGTGGGAGATTTTGTACTGCATTTTTATGACGGGACGGAGAATCATTCTTGCGGAGTCCTGCCACCTGTGAATGATTACAGGAATGCTCATCTCGATGAAGAAATCAGGACGAAAATTTCTGTTCACGGATTGCGTTCTGATATTTCGATATTTCATTGTGCCTATATTGGAAAAGGGTGGGTGGATAAAGGATGGGTGGATAAGAGCTGGAATGCGAAGACGCGTGGAAATAATCATACAGATACGCATATGGATATACAAACGCACAGCAATCTCGAAACAAACCCGGAAAATCCAGACAGCACATGGAATTCCAATTGGGATCATACCCTAGACTCATCTCACAAACCCTCAGAACCCAACCCCAATCTCAACGCACCACGAAAACCAGACGCAGATGCGACTCAGGATTTGAGGTTTCCCTCAGGCACAGATAGAAATCTCACCTCTGCAGAAGCGAATCAGGATGACCTTCGCATGTTGTCGAAACTTCGCGAGTTTATGTTGGATGAGAATTATGAGCCTGTCGATTCGCTAATGAATCTCATGCGGGGATTTGATAGGACGGACAAAATGGCGGATTTTAATCCGGTTATGATGGTTTTGCATTGAGTTGGTTTTTAGGGGGTTTCAGGAGAGGGTTCGTGTTGATTGAGACTGGAGTTCTTGGTTTCTGGGGTTAGAATGGATAATTAATGTGGTTATAGAAATTCGGAAATGGGAAAGGAATAACTGATGAGGATTTTGCTTTTAGATCTTTCAATGAATGGAATCATTTAGAGCCTAGGAGAGGGGCTTTAGTAGGAGGTGATTGTGATAGAAATACTGAAGATGTATACATCAGTGTACAGTTCGCTGCTTGAAAGATCGAGAGAATAACATATACTAATTGACAGTGGATTCATTAAAGGAGTGCTCTCTGAGGGAACTGATAGTGGCTTCATAACAGCATACTACAAATCGATTTGCGAGTTACCAGTTACCAATTCGAAGTAGCAGCTTTGCCAAAGTTGCAGGATGGATATACGGTGTATCCACGTATCGAAAGGATCGCTAGCACAGCCAGCGGCATTGAAGTATAAATCTGAAAGATTTCTTACATGAATTATATTGGAATGATATATATTTCTGATTCTCTCTCATTTTGTCTCGCTCGATAAATTGCTTTAGAACTAACCCTCGTAAAATCATAAAAATACAAAAGAATCTAATGTGTCAAAGGATCTGAAGCAAGGAATCAACCAAGAGCAGCCATTTGATCGAAATTGATATGTCCTCAGACTATATCATGATGAAGAGGAACAGCCTTGGTGACCCATGTCCACCAAAATTTATATGAATCTGGGCGTAGAAAATCGTACCGAGCCATTTCCAACCACATCTACCGGGACCACAACAAATACTTCTACACTCAACAGTCGATCAATCATCTCCCAGCTCAGAAACAAAACCCACTTCAAAGAAACCAGCCAAACAATGCCGCCACTCCAAACAGCATACTACCCGTGACGGTGCAGTAACTAACCACACTAGCTTTACTACCTCCACTCTCACTCGATACGCTTGTCGAACTCGAATTATCCGGACTCGTGTTTATGAGTTGGAAATTATATACACCACATCCTGTATCGATGGAACCTGATCCCGTGATTGAAGAACTGTTGTCACCACCTGTGGATATGTTAGTTTTGTTCTACTTTTCTTTTTCCAAATACAAAACAAGAGAGGATGAAGCAAAAACAAAAGTCAAAGCTTACACCCAGAAAAAAGATGATCATAAACGATTTCGCAGTCGCTTGCGGAACTATTTCCCGGACAAGTTGTGGTTGCAGATGTAAAGGCAAGTGAAATGATGGAGCTGGAGGTGGAATCTATATTGTAGTTCTTGGCCGTGGATGAGAAGTTACTAGAAGCGATTTGGGTGCAGAGTTGGGTGGTATATTTTGTTAGAGAAGATATGTTGAAAGAGGTTGTTGTGCTGGAATCGGTGATACATATGGGTATTGAGGTTGCGGTGATGATTGTGAAGAAAAGAGAGAGTGCTAATATGGCTCGTGAAATCATTTTAAATTAGCTGCTACGATTCTTCTATTCGTAGATGATTTGAGGATATGAGGATATGACTTCGGATGATTATCGTGGTGTGAGGAGTTTCTTTGCAGACAAATTAAAAATTCACAACCTTAGTTTCCAGAACTATTAAATAAAAGCAACCCGAAGAACAGAAAAAACTCCAACGTCATAACTCTGATTACTGCGGTGTAAATCTCAGTACATATAACTTTTCTAATCGTGTCGTTGGCTGCAGCCATCATGGTGAATGAAGGATTGCGCCGGCTGCGGTCAGATAAGGCTGCGGTCAGATAAGGCTGCGTGGGTGCGGCTAAACAGGTGTGTGAAATGCATGGCCACAAGATCGATTAGCTCTGTATGTTTATTTATATATAGTTGTCATCTTTGAAAATGCTTGATTAGGCTTCTGACACATCAGATACAAAATAGGGATTTCTACGTCAAATTTTTGAAAACATGATTGCGAATATCACTTATTCAGCCAAGAATGATTCCAAGACGAATGTTCAACATGCTCAGTTACTCACTGTACATCTTTAGCGGAGGCTGTAATCGAAGATCATAGTTGCTACTCTTATTAAAGAGATCGTTTCAGAAATATTCCTCTTAGAAGGATTTAGGATTAGTCGCGGTAAACGTACTTTTTACTACTGGCCATGTAATGTTAGATCGACCCCAACTTTAGGCTCGTGTTATTCCTCCACGTTCCCGTCATTATAATCGCTTAGTATTGCTAGATTTATCAAAAGACGCTCAATTGATAGTATGATAGATGTAGGAAAAGGAGTTAGAAGATGATAACAAAATCTATAACGAAAAATAATATAAAAAAAAAGTAAAAGCAAAAAACGACCTGACACCTCAACATTAATTCATAAAGCTTATTTGTCGCAGTAAAGGATTATAGAAAATCCTGACAGCAGGTTCTCATATTAGGTCACTGTGCACAAACTAATTGTTGCTCAGCTTTTCTCTTCTGCGCGCAACAGTTTTGTGAATGTTGGGATGCGCTTCAGCCTCGGTGTAGAATTTTTCATGTCTGTATCAATTATGCATTGCTGAGGAAAGGCGCAGGAGGATCTGACAAGACCCCACAATAACTTTGTATCGGAGTAGACAGTCATGTTTACATGTATGTACTTCTTATCGGGGGATTATTCGGCGGCGAAGCAAAGATCCCAGAGGCTGTTCCAGTTTTCGATTTTGGTTTGCTCCCTGTGAAGTGCGAACGCAACTTAGATAATTTGATGACCTGAAAAAGTAAATCCCCCAATTATTAAAGTTACGACAGAACAATAGAACCGCTTGGTGTGCCAGTGCTGTACCAAAATTCAGCGTTGGAGGCTCAATCAATCAGATATAGACGCCCATCCCAATATGCTGATAATGAGGAGAGAAAAAGTGTTCGCACCATGGTGGAATCGTAGATGTTGCTTGTGGTGAGCAATCATGCAACCTTTCTACACGCCCTAAAATCTTTAGCGAATTTGACCTTGGGAGATTCATCCGCCAACGTGATATGGTCAACAAAACTCATGATCAACAATGCTTCCTTCGATAGCTAATTGCAGAGTATTTGTGACAATTTATCTGCTTTTTGCGCTTTCCCATATTTAGAATGGCTTATGGTATATTAGTGAGTTATTGTTGAGAGACTTGTTGGTATAATAAATCACAGTGCGTGACCTGAGCAAGAAGTAAGCTCAGCTTCCTCCGATGGTTAGATGGTACATTGCCATATCTGACAGCTCTCACCGAACACAAAGATCAAGACCTATCGATTCCCGTGAGAAATGTTGACTATGAGAAATCTCTCTTGTTGTATTTCGCTTGCTATAGGTGAATACGTACAATATAACTGTCCGGTGTGTCTGTTTGACTAGCGCGAATTTGTAAAATATGTAGGATCTTATGTACCCCACTGAGCATGCCCCGCCAAATTTCGACAATGGACGTTGACGTCAGTACATAAATTACAACATGGCAATACTTAAATGCCCATTATTCGTCCAATTATTGAAATACAATTGAATGCGAAAACTGTTACACAAATATATGTAATACTATATCATTGAAATCCATTCAATCTATCACCGATAGTAATCTGTCCGTATTCAACTCGTCAAATTCTTGCCTTTTACCTCTCAAGAAACACTTGCTTCCTCATCAACCCTATCTTCTTTCTTTTATCCATCTCGAGTCAAGTATAAGTGTACATCGAGGAAAACGAAAACAACAAAGGCCCCAGTCAAACAGAGCCATCTATTTGCTTCATATACTTTTCTAGGCGTAGACATACGGAAGTGGATGGATTGATGCTGGTTACGAAATCGCTGGTGCTTTTGTTCGTATGTAAGAGTTGTCGAGTGTTTGAGACGATACTGAAGGAATACATGAGATTGAGCAGCTTTAGAACCGAAAGTATGGTATCGCGGTGAATGATGATTGGTACTCAAGTGTGGTACTGGACTGATATTGCAATGGAGGTTGCGGGATGACGGAGCCCGGTGCAAAGAACGAACAGTTGAAGTAATTGGTGTTCGAAACATAGTCTTGACAATGCTCATATTTATTATTGTACTTGATAATGGATGGGTACTGTGAACCGTTTTTGTTTGTAGGAATTCTGGTATGGGATGAAGTTCGAAGGACATTGTGGGTGACAACTCACAGTGCCGGAAGCTAGAAATAGTTTCTCCTAGCTTCACACTACAAAGTTGCCTCCCAGTATCAACTTTTTCGTGGCTATTAGAGATTTTCAGATAACTGTATATTCTTTTCGTTTTTGTTATCTGATTATTGCTCTATTTCACTGAGTACATTGAGGAACGTTTCCTTATTCAATTGGAATATGTAGCTAGTGTTTTTATCAATGTCTCCCTTACTTCCCAATAATGGCTAATCATCGATTATATTCCTTGAGTGGTATATATCATATGTTTCTAGTGATTCATACTACACCTCAAAGCTCTCCAAGCAAATTGAGAACCAGTTCATCATGTTCTTCTCATAATCAACACATTAAGAGACTTTATTCTAGAGGTGAGATGGTACATCTACCCCTTCATCTCTACTCTTAATCTTTCAATATAATCATCCGAAAATTGAAATTTAATACACTACATACATGTGGAAGTATATGCCTTCGCAGAAAACCATACTAGACCACGTCGTTGAACAATTCATGCGTTCTGCCGAGCGGTGTTGACACTCACATTCACGTAATCTTACATGACCTCGACTTCGACTTCCCGTTTGAAAAAATTGCTTCGCGATAGGGACATGGTGTCAATCTCCTGCCACCTTCCATTTTGTCTCTACAACGCGAAGTTCTCATTTCTTCGCAAGGACAGTGTTATTGGCAGACTCAAATGTCCGTCTTCTGTCCCGGATGTGCTTTTACCTCAATGTACCAATAGACGAAGGGTTCTTGTCTTTCCGTGAAAGTTATAACACTTCAAGGATACAAAGAGATTGTAGTCTGTTGGTGAGGATAGTTTCAATGTGTTGACAAAGATTTCAAGGACATAGTCAGATTATGGTTTTTGTTCCCCGGGGAAAACTTCACAAGTCCAAGGACATATCAAAGTTACGATCGATTGAAAAGGAGTTTCAGGCAAGGCACAGTCAGATACTAATTCCTGTATTTCAGCAAATAATATAGCGCTTCAAGGGTACAACCAAATCAGAACTCATATCTGGAACGCAGGACCAAGAGAGCATATTCAAATTGTGATCAATTAGAGCAAAGACACCGGCATCTCATCACATCAAGAGCACGATCAAGTTATCATTCGTTGCAGACAGAGCAAAGCCTGAACGTCCACTATGCCAAAGAAAGACACAGCCAACTTCCGAATGATCAACAAAGAGTCCTCGAGTACTTACATGTCTCCTCATGTTACGCACACATCCAAGACCACAAATTATCCCATATTCCCTCTCAACAGCATACCTAACCCGTAATCGCAATCCCAAGTCTTCAAATCAAACCCATCACACCAGATTAAAATTCCTTCTATCTAAACCGCATCTCCATAATCTCACATATTGCACACCAGATCGAAGTCTTGCAGACAAGTATATATCTTACGATGTGAAGTACACTCTGCAGACAAGCACACATACTTACATTCAGACACAGAAGTATATACCTACATAAACCAACCACAGCATGAAAAAATCCATGGATAAATCGACCCCATCCCATCACTCCGATTCCAGAATCCGAAATGGGGAATTAACCAACCAACCAATTAACCATAGAAAATCCATCTCAACACGCACACCTACTCACATCACTCCCCCAGAACCTCTAATCTCCCCCAACTCCAATCCTAAATGCATCATATCATGTCATGTCATATCACATCATATCCCATCAAACACTCCCCAAAATTCAAATCCTTCATAAATGCATACATACATCTCATACATCCATACATACATCCACACTCCCCCCTCGGCAAAGCTACCTATATCTATACCCATCCAAACTCCCATCCATCAACAAACCCCCATCAAATCATCAACCCAACCCAACTCAACCCAACCCAACCCAAACCAAACCGAATCAAAAAAAAATCAAAAAAATTACTGACATCACCCCCCAGCGTTCCTCCCCTCCCATCCTCCCCACTTCCCAACCAAGCGAGCGAGCGAGCGAGCTCAGATCAGATCAGACCAAATCACCGGCAAAACACTTATCCGACAACACGCAAAAAAAGTGAGAGAGAGACGCTTTCCTTCCCCCTCTCTTATCTCATCCCTCGTGTCATCCATCTCATCTCAAGAATATAACTCACTATTTCTTTTTTCTCTTTTGCACATCATATTTATACTTATTTATTGGTTGCTTGTACCAGAATCTGGAAACATGGAGAGATGAGAGGGAGATTGAGAGCGAATACATAGGAGCCGAAATGTATGGGGGAAGAAGAGGATGTTTAGTTACCCCGATTCAGCAATGCTAGAATCATGTAATACCTCCG